GATACGTTGAATCAACACAACATTGTCGTTTCTCATCAGGCATCTCCAGAAAAGTTATTTTCATCAAAGGAACTTATACGATTTCCATGTTTCTTAGGGGGTACAAATTGCAAAGAGGCACCCTATCAATTGACTTCACTATAGTGACGCGAACTAAGAAAAAAAAGGGTGCATAATTCTGAAAAAGCAGCGAAAAAGTCGCTTTTGAAAGGAAAGTCAATAACATCTTTCATTTTCTACCTACACATACTTTAACTGAATTCTATTTTTTATTCAACCGAGATTTTACGCTGTTTTGCGCATTCGCTCGGCTTCAGCCTGTTTTGTCATAGGTGGTACCTGCGCATAAACGGTTCTTAATTGGATTTGAACCTAAAGCGCGGGGTTTTCGGGAGAGGATTTATGGTAGAATCTAAAATACCTATACACTCACTGGTAGACGAGGTTCCTTGGGGGAAATCCACAGAAACACCCAAGCAAAACACCTCACCTACCTTGGTGTATAAGTAATTATAGGATTTACGATAAAAAAAGCAAAAGTTACGTTTTTGGGGTTTAAATATTTTTGTCGTTCCAAATTCTAATCTTTGCGAAGGGCTTCAATAGGGGAAAGCGACGATGCTTTTAGCGCGGGATACAGCCCAAACGAGATGCCGATTATCGCCGAAAATGATACCGAAATTAGCACCCACTGCAAGGAGATAACGGCGGGCCATTCGGGAACAATTTTGACGATTTTGACAGCGAGCATCGCCATCCCTTCACCGACGCAAATGCCCAATCCAACACCGACTGCACCGCCGACAGCACACATGATCACTGACTCTATTAGAAACTGCAGCAGAATGTCGAGACGTTTTGCCCCCATGGCTTTCCGAAGTCCTATTTCACGGGTGCGTTCGGTGACAGCGACTAACATCATGTTCATAATCCCGATGCCCCCGACGAGGAGCGAGAACCCGGCGATGCTGCCTAAGGTGATTTTTATGATTCTGCTGATTTTATCCAATTGTGCCATACCGGCGTGCATTTCAAAGATTCTGATGAAGTCGTCTTGATTTCTGTGCCGTTTCCGGATGACAGTTTTGACCTCTTCAACCGCCTTAGGAACATCCTTGACAGTGTGTGCGTAGACCGTAATGTTCGGAATCTGGTCATTGCCGGTGAAGCGGTCTTGGATGGTTGATATGGGAATGAAGGCGAGGTGGTCGAAACCGACACCGAACCGGAGACTTGTGCCTCGTGGTACGAATGTTCCAACAACCCTAAAGCGCTCAGTGAAGCGTCTCCCCTCTTTTTGTCCCCGCCGGTTGTAATAGTCGCTGTCGCGTGCGATTTTAATTTCTTGCCCTAATGGAGATTTCTCACCGAACAAAGCGGTCGCGACCTCATCCCCAAGCACACAAACTTTCGATGCGTTTTTAACGTCTTCATCCGTGATAAAACGTCCCTCTTTAACGTTCCAGTCCATTGCCGTTTTGTAGGTAGCATCTACACCATTCCAGCCTGCACGAACTTCAGATCCGCCTGAAGCTTGGATGAGCACGCCTCCCCAGTTCCAGATTTGCGGTGTGGCTGCCCTGACAGTTGGACATTCCGCCTCGATTGCTAATACATCTTCATATTTCAGGTATTCATTGCTGCGGATACGGACCCAGCGATTGTTTACACGCTTGTACGAACTCCGGAACACAAAGAACTGATTTGCCCCACCTAACTTTTGTGCGTCTTGCCGGACAATCGCCTTGGCACCATCACCAATCGCTATCATCGCTAACACCGAAGCGACACCAATGATAATACCAAGCATCGTCAACAACGAACGCATTTTGTTACTACTAATCGCAGAGATTGCGACGGATACTGCTTCGACTATACGCATTTCATCCTCCAAATTACAGTGAAATCTGTGTTTACCGATTCCTGATTAGATTTTTTAGGTGTTGTGTATTAAAGGGTTGTAGGTTCAATATCAAAGACATAAGTCTGACGTAAAAAGGGTTCTCTTTCTCCTCGCTATTATAGATACAATCTAAGCGCAAAAAGGTTGCACTTTTTTATAGTAAAGCCCGAAAATATACAGACAGTTGTTTAGCGAACGAGGGAAATCCGCAGAAATACCCCACCGTCGCTGGCGAGGTATTTTTGATAGGGCGTTTCTTTTTCCCCAAAGATTTCATCAAAATTTCTCCTATTTTCTGTAATACGGTTGATTCTGTTCTGAGGATGTGCTGATAAACCGAAGCTTCGTGTTGATGGACACGCTCAAGAAATTAATCTCCTGTCATATTGCCTCTTCGCTCTTTTGGCGCAGCTTGCAAGCCAAAACTTGCTGTTAAAAAGTGAGGTTATCGTTACTACAAATGAGTTCCAAAATCGTTGCACTTTTTCCTATCGTTGAAGGGAAGGGGTTTGGCGGTTGATTGAGTTGGTAAAATGTTATTGACAGAACTCACGCAAACAGGCGATAAAGGGTTTCCTTACTACAAACACAATCTCTTGAAAATAGCCGTGTTTCTCAAAACAAGCGCGGTTCGTAGTCACGCAATTCATTGCGCATTGCGTAAGTCCTATTAGACAACAAAAAAGGGAACCGGTAAAAACAGTTCCCTTTTGACATTTATTGAACTTCGGAATCTACGCTGACAGTCCCGCGACTGCAGCATCCTCACTGTCGAAATGTTCAAACAGGTTAAGCACCCGACTCAGAACAATCAGATTTCTGATGTGTTTCCCCAGATTGATAACACCCATCCGACCTTGTTTTTGCGATGCGGCGGCATGTGCCTCTATCAAGGTTCCGAGTCCTAAACTATCGATCTTATTGACCTGCTCGAAATTGATGAGGATGCGCGGGGTATCGGACGTCTCTATTTGTGGCAAGATAACTCCCCGTAATTCTAATACGGAGTGTCCGGTTATTTTTCCATTGGGTTCCAAAATCGAGATGCCATTTTGCTGGCGAATTTGCGTTGTCATTTTTTTTCTCCTTTAGTTTGAAAGTTTCATTGGACTTACCAATAACAAATTATCTGAAATTTTACATCCGTCAAGAAATTTATCTTCTGTCATATTGCATCCTCGCGCATTTTGAGGTTGTCGTTACTACAAACGAGTTCCAAAATCGTTGCACTTTTTTCCATCAAAGCGGAAAGACTTGGGGTAGGAGTCGTGGATACAGTTTTGGGAATTGCTCGGGTTGGGAAAGTGTTATTGAATTTCTATGTTTAAGCGTACCATGATGCCTGTGCGTTCCACATTTCGGCGTATAACCCGTCCATCGCCAGCAGCTCTTCGTGTGTGCCGTCTTCAACGAGTTGTCCTTCATCTAAAACGAGGATTCTGTCACAGAGGCGAGCAACTCCGAGCCGATGGGAGATGACAAGGGTGGTACGCGATGCGTCTTTGGTGAGGAGTTCCCGGATCATTTCAACCTCGGCGACTGGATCGATGGCGGCAGTGGGTTCATCAAAACACGACGAATTGACTCTGTCGGAAAAGTCCACGCGCTACGGCGAGGCGCAGCCATTCGCCGCCGGACACATCGCGTCCGCCAAATTCATGTCCGAGCCAAGTATCGAGTTCTTGTGCGAAAGTGGAACCTGCTCTGTCGAGCGTGTGCCGTAGATGGTTGTCGTCCTGCATGCGATTCAGGTCAGCAAAGCCGACGTTGTCTCTGACAGGCAGTAGGAATTTAGTGAAGTCCTGAAAGACAGCACTTGTTGTGGGTTTTTCAGAAGTCGTAGCACCTTGTGAAAACGTGAGTGTTCCGCTATCTGGAGCGTATAAACCGAGTAATATATTCGCCAGTGTCGTCTTCCCAGCACCATTTTTCCCGACGAGTGCAACGATTTCACCAGGTGCGATTTTTTGCGGTAATTTCTTTGAGGGTCTGCGTAACTGCGCTCGGGTATTGGAACGAAAGATTACTCATGGCAACTGTCGTCTCTCTTGCTTCTGCGGGTGAGGGAGCATCCTGATGTTTTTCTGTCGTATGAGAAACGCCGCTCTCTTGGGTGGATTGCGTTGTGAATAGCGTCGCAAGGTCACGTAAGACGCCACTCTGTTCGGCGAGATTTCCCATAGAGCGCGCCATATATGAGAGAAATCCCTGTAATCCAGCGGCGGCGGTAATTAAACCCATAAAGATACCGGCGATCTTTTCAGGGTCGCCGCTACGTGCGGTTTGGGCAGCGATGAAAACGATCACACAATATCCGAAGATAGAACTGAGGTTGGCGAGTGCGTTCCAAGCGGTTTTCCTGTTGAGTGATCCTATTTCCACCCCAGCGAGTTGATGATACGCGTCTTCCCATTTTGAAAGCAACCAACGTTGTAGTGTAAAGAGACGGACCTCTGGACTGTTGACCCGTTCATAGAGTCGAGCCGCCCACGCTGTCTGCGTTCGGTTAGGACGTGCCGCCGCTCGGTCCCGTTCAAGTTCAAGCCTTGCAACAGGTTTCCTTGTGAAGAGAATAATCGAAGAACTGACGAGCAAAGCGAGCATACACCATATATTACTACTTATAATGAAGACTGCGCCGAGCAGTCCACACACACCCGCGATACTATGGATATTGGCCAGAACACTCTGAAACCAGCTGACAACGCGATCGCTGAAACCTTGCGTTGCCCGACTCAGATTATCGTGAAAGTCAGCATCCAAAAAACGGAGCAGTGGTGTTTGTCCAGCTTGACGCAGAAGGTCTTCCTGGAAATGGAGCACAGCTTTATTGGAGAACCACATCTGCGTTACACCGTTGAAAACATCGGTTAATATCTCCAAGGTCATTAGCACGAGATAAAGCCCCATCCATAAAAAGAGTCCTTCGGCGTTTATTAACGCGTTTGTAAATCCGGCGATGATAATCGGCGAAAAACCGCGATGTCCGGCGTTTATTAAACGGAGCAGAAGGGTGACACAGAGGGGAAGCGGGCAATCCGTATAAATTGCCAAATTAAGCGAAGAACTGTGCGTCTCGGTAATGTGTTTGTGTTTCTCATTGGTACCACTCACTTTGTGCCGCGAACATTTCGGCGTATTTTCCATTTTGCTGTAGGAGTTCAGTGGGATCTCCGATTTCTACAATGCGTCCATTGTCCAAAACAACAACGCGATCGGCAAGTCGTGTGGGTCCGAGTCGATGGGCAATGAGCAGTGCAGTTTTACCATCTACCAATTCAACGAACTGCTGAAAAATCTCCAACTCAGCGAGCGGATCCAGAGCCGCTGTGGGTTCGTCAAAAATAACAAATTCGCCCGCTTCTTTTATCAGACTACGGGCAATAGCGACGCGTTGCCATTCGCCGCCAGAGAAATCTGCTCCGCCGAATTCGGGACCCAAAAACGTGTTTAGAGGATATTGTTCTGTTGACAACCCGACTTGGGTTAAGGTCGCCGCAACATGTGAATCGGAGGCATCAGTACTGTCCAAAGCCAGATTTTCGTGTAAGGTCGTCGGATAGCGTGCTGGGTGCTGAAACACTACGGTGCAAGCACGCCGGAGGTCTTCGGATGAGATTGTGGCGGTATCGATACCGTCTATTGTAACACGTCCTGCTGTTGGAGAACGCAAGCCTGCTAAGATGTGCGCCAAAGTCGTTTTTCCTGCGCCGTTTTCACCGACTATAGCGAGAATTTCGCCCGGGCGAATGTGAACGTTAACATCGGAGAGTGCGTCTGTATCTGCCCCCGGATAACGATATGCAACGTTATGCAAACCGATACCCTCACGTATCGGGTGCGGATAAGGTGTCCGCGTTTCGGAAGCGTCTTCATCCTGTTTTTTTTCCTAACAGACGGCGAAGGTCTTCTCCGTAGCCAGCGTGTTGGACAAAGCCGATGACCATATACTGCATGGAGTTCATACCCGCAGTGATATTCCAGAGTGCCTCTAACACCAAAGCGGCGAGTCCGGCTTCGGTCCTTCCCTGTGAAAGCGATGTAACGAGCAGTGCCCCAGCGATGATGGCGACGAAAATAAACACCTGGAAAATACCTTGGTAGGCATTTTGAAATGAGATATGCAAGCGTTCCCGAAGATATTGGGCGAAGATCGTCCGCCAGCGTTGGAGAAGGGTTTCGCCGATGGACCATAAACGGATTTCGGCGGCACTACGTCGCTCTGTTAGAAGTTGGACGTAGTAATCTGTAAGTCGTTTGTTACGTGTATTTTCCACCTCAAAGTGACGCACTCGTGTCCCCATCTGAATTTCAAAAACCCGCACTAATATTGAACCGCCGATGATGATCAGGGGAATCCAAATTGAAATCAGCCCTAAAACAACGGCACTGGTGAATAAGAGAGGGATGTATTCAATAAGATTCAGGCCATTTTGCATCAATTGGACAACGCTCGAATCCCCTCCAGCAACAACGCGATTGATGACGTCATGCGATTCCTCATCATCAAATGCTTCCAGTGGCAGTTTGCCTGTCTTTTGCAAGGCGGCACGTTGCAAAGCAAAACCGGCTCTAATGCGGAGCTTTTCGCGCAAAAGTGGGAGAAGTGTTGAAATCGCTTGTTCGACGAAAAAGAGGAAACAGAGCGCGACCAGCCATGGAACCGCACTGCTCATAAGATCTGCATCGACGAGGGTGTTAACGGTTTCTCGGAGCACGAGCAGATGGGCTGCGCCAGCACCTGCATTGATGAGTACAAGGGTTATCCACGCAGCGGCGATAAAAGGCGATGCTTTCAACACCTGCGCGAACAGCCAGAGTAGGTCCCGAAATGATGGACGGGTTAATTTTACTTTGTCCCACATGGTTTACTATCCACCTCGTGTAAAATTTTCGCGTGAACGCGAGTCATTCCCAATAATTGCTAAGTGAGCGGCTCTTTGAGCAGTTTGTTACGACGATAATAATTACCACTGAGCGTAGAGAAGGTGTCTTAGTTTTCTTTCTTGAGTATTTTCCGAACTTAGGTAATCCAACGGTCTATCCACAACATAATCCCCTGAATCCTCAAGGAACTGCTGAACCAGAAAGATATGCCCAGCACCGATAATCAGTAGAATCCGATCATCATCAGATTCGGTGATCCGCGTCAAGTTCACAAAAATCTTGAGATTCCGATCATACCAAAAATGGGCGAGCCAGTTGGCACCCGGATATTTGTCCTCTAATCCAATACGCGCACCCCGTAAATATCCCTGATGATCTGCACGCCTACTTTCGGGCCGATTGATCCGTATGTACTTGTCAATCATTGGTTCATATTTCTCAGGTTCAATCCAGATTTTGCCATCTTTATCCCGAGTGATTTTCCCTGGAGGCAGCGGTTGGAGGAGATGCTCCTGATTGTGAGCTTTGGCAAATGTATCGGTGTCTATTAATTCGTGATCAATATGATAGGCGAGTGTTCTGGCCAATGATCAACACAATACACCTGTGAATGTCCGAATTCTTTTGCCAACCTGTATCCAATCTGATCTCCCTCGTACGGTCCGAGTGCGTACGTCCCGTTTAGATAACCTTGATAATTTTTATTTTCAGTGTCGCAACGGCTTGGATCCACCTCAACCGCTATCTTGGTAGGTTTAAATTCTTTGAGTTGTTCAACCAACTGTTCAATCTCGCGTTGGCGTTTGGAGGCAAGGACATCATCCGTTCTTTCATTGATGGCATCCATTCCCGAACTTGTAAAGTGCCAACTGCCAAGAATCATGATTGTCGGTTTCATTGGCGTGTTTCTCCTATCTACACTGGAAGCACTGTCCTTTCAAGATTCCTGTGTCTCAGTGCGTTCCTGTTTTACGTAAGTCTGTGCTGTTATGGACTTGGGGCTTGATTAATCGGCTGCTGCTGGATTTAAGTATTGCAGCGGGCTTTCAACGATGTAATCTCCCGAATCCTCCAAAAACTGCTGAATCAGATAGACGTGTCCAGCACCGATAATCATCAGAATGCGATCGTCAGTAGACTCAGTGATTCGCGTCAGGTTCACAAAATTCTTGAGATTATGCGCATACCACCAATGTGCAACCCAATTCGCACCCGGGTATTTGGTCTTTGAGTCCAATGCGTGCGGTGCGCAGATATGATTGATGGTCGGCGGACATCTGTTCAGGATCGTTAATCCGTATGTACATGTCAATCAGCGGTTCGTACCCCTCATGTTCAACCCAGACCGTGCCATCTACGTCCGCCCGAACTTTCACCCCGCTTGAGGAAATGCTCCATAAGAGATGCTCCTGATTGTGCATCTCCGCAAACGTGGCATAGTCCATCAAGTGGTCGTCAATTTTATCACGGATCGGCCGGTGTTTTGGCCAGTCAGCAACACAGTAAAGCTTCGGATGTCCCATCTGTTTGGCTAACCGAAAACCGATTTGGTCATGCAGGCTCCGTGTGAGTTCGTATGTGCCCTCCAAGTAGCCTTGATAGCTTGCGTTAATCTCAGCGTCATCCCTTTCGTCTACATAAACGGCTATTTTGGTGGGATTAAACGCTTTAAGTTGCGTCACCAGTTGTTCCATTTCGCGTTGGCGTTTGGGGTGCGAGGACATCATCCATTCTCACATTGAATCTACATTGACTTCCCGGGATTTGTGAAGAATGAGCTGACCGAGGATCATGACCCTCGGCTTTCTTCTCGCTGTGTCCTCTTTTTCCATTGCCCCTTCACTTGTCGGCCAAAATCGATGTCTACTACCGCACCGAAGTTGCTTAGATTCCCGAGCACTTCCTCAATGCGTTCTGGCGCAATCTCTCGACAATGTTGACAAAGGTGACTCTCCAGACCTTTTAGGAATGATGATAGCGAAATCCCCGTAAACCTTTTCTCTTCTGTCAAACAGAGGTTGATTTCCACCGTTTCACACTCACCATGTTTTCCTCAATCTGACGAGGACTTCCCACTCATCCTTTTTGAGCTTTTCTTGAAATAGTTAACTAATTTCTTCTCATCAATCGTCGCCCTATCGTAGGTGTCGGACATAATGCCGTCTACATCTGATCAGTTCGGCGACCTCTGTTGATTGCTCACCGATTTGGTAACCAGATTGATGAGTTTTCGCGGGTTAAGTAACCTCGACTTTTGCCTCAACGGGTTCTGGAAATCGAAGAGGATAAGTCCTTTTCTATCGGTTTTGTCTCGATTTGTTGTCCTGCTGCGCGACTGCTGAGTGCATCAGTGCTAACGATGCAACTAAAAACAGCAGCGTGAACAGTCGTATAAAGTGCTTTTGCAGTTTCATGGGTTCTACTCCTTATCTATTTTAACGGTTAGTTGCTGTGGTTTCTGATTTCAGGGCATGATCCGGTTTCTCGGCGTTGAGCTTTACTTCCCACCGGTGGGGCATCGGGGCCTTTATCCAATTGCGAACTGTTTCGGAGATCGCCTCCTCCGAATTAGATTCCAGAAGTTGTCCAAATAGAGTGCCGAGTTTCTGAAAGTCGATCTCCCCATAGATGTTCACAAAACCCAAATTGCCATCATCGGTGAACATAACGAAGATACCTTGCACGACACCCGATTTTTTCCGCGTAAAGCAGGCTGAGATCGAATTTATCCCTGATTTTGACGAGATGTTCCCACTTTTCGTTTTCAAGGATACCACGATAGTGGTCCACCATCTGGTCGAGGTCTTTCATCTCTTTATCGTAAGCCCGGATAGAGGCACCTTTTAGCATTTCGGCATACGCCGCATATTCTGAGAGATCTATCGATCCATCTCCAGCAAGTTTCGGGTTACTTGCGATGCCGAAATTGATAAAAAGGCCCAAGAGGCTCTTGTCCAAGTTAATTTCAACTTTCGGGACAGGGGCATCCGGCAGATTCATTTCTATTTTCTTCCTCGAGTTGTTTCTTCTAAGTTGCTGTTCTGGGCGTGCCCATTGGTGAAAAAACAGCAAACTGCTAAAAAGGCTATACCTGTTAAAAGGACTGTAAGGGCGGATCTTTTCATGGGTTTCTTCTCCTTAATATGAACGTTGATCGGTTTTCGTATCCAGAGTGCCCTGCGGTAATCGGTCAAGGCTATCGAGACTCCGGTGAAGTGCTGATGAAATATTTCTCTTCTGTTTTGAAACGTGGCGGGAGGCTGTTTCAATTTGAACAAAGGGACGACTTGAAACTTCATCAATCCGCACATCCGGGAGTTTTTCGTTAACGACGGTGCCTGTTCGCTCCACGGCGTAATTCAACTTACCGAGCGCATAATAGAGATCGCGTGAAGCTTGCTTCACTGTTAGATACTGTTGATACTGATAGGTCCCAAACACGGCGATTCCGATGAGGCACGCCAACGCACCTGCGCGCGCGAGTACCGAAGTCAAATCCTCAGAGAACGTGAACATTTGGAATATCCGTTGCAGCCATCTCGGACCCTTGTTGGGATGCGCGCGAACGTAAGCCTCAACGGCGTTGAAGACTTCCGGCGGTGGCTCTGGCTTCGGAAGTTCGTGTAATGCGCCACTAATTGCTTGTACGAAGCGAACTTCATCCTGACACGTTGGGCAGGACGCAACATGTGTCGCTATTGTCGCATGAAGGTCGGTATCTAATTCATCGGCGAGATATGCCTCTAAATTGTCCTGAACTTCCATGCAAGATGAATCTTGGTGAAGAGGAAAATTGTTCATTCTTCATTCCTCCAGTAGGGACGTAGTAACTCCCGCAACCTTTTGCGGGCACGGAATGCTGTTGATTTCACAGTTCCCTCGGGTTGTTCTAACACCTCTGCGATCTCCTTGAAACTCATGCCGTTCAATTCCCGCATAATTATCACTGACCGCATATCTGGCGGCAATTTCTTAATGGCACACTGGACCGACTCTTTGAGCTCTTGCTGGATCACAATCTCATCTGGTGATGGATTTGATCGATTAGAATGCGTGTGCATCAAAGTTTCGAGTTCTGTTTCGGGATCTGTATCGTCTCCGCCTGTTAAATGCACCTGAAATTTATCTCGCTTTAGCAGATTGAAACAGAGATTCTGTGCACATTTTAGCAACCATGAGTGTACAGTCTTCGGACGCAATTTGTTACGGTGTTTCCACGCCGTGATAAACGTCTCTTGTGTTATATCCTCTGCATCTTCTCGATTTTTGAGTAGATAGAGGGTGTGTTGGTAAATCCGAGCCTTGTGTTCATTAACAAGCTCAAGAAATTTATCTTCTGTCATGTTTCAACTCCGCGCATTTTGAGGTTGTCGTACAAACGAGTTGCAAAAAAGTTGCACTTTTTTCTATTTAAGCAATATTAAGAAACAAATTTAAGGTTTTTAGGAAGGGTGGAAGAAGAGGAAGGGTGGAAGAACGGGAAGGGTGGAAGAAGAGGAAGGGTGGAAGAAACACCGTGTCCGCTATCTTCCAAACTTCCAAACTTCCAAACCAGTACGGAAGCAAAACTTGAACTTACTCCCACTGAAACACACTACCCAACAAACGCATCGGTTCATCGCGGAGCCACCTATATATCTGTGGTGCTTCGTCAACACGCACCCGATGTCGGATCAGTGGTGCAATCTTGACAGAACCCTGGCGGAGCAATCGACAGAGATTTTCCAAATCGTCACAAGTGAAGTGGCTACACTGCAGGATACCAATCTCCTTATGTTGTCCCACGTTAAAGGTGTAATTGACATCGAACCGTCCGGCAACTAAGAGCAATCGTCCCCGAACTTTGCAGGCATCGATCATCGGTGTTACCATGTCAGGAACACCAGCGAAGTCCATGACAGCATCAAAGGAACCCTCTTGAATTTGGGCATCCCAACCATCACCACTTGTATTGAGAACCGCCTCCGCTACACCCAGTTGGCGGATCTGTTCCAGTCGAGATTCCTCAATGTCGCATACTGTGACGCGGGCTCCCATGGCGTTGGCGATCTGCGCCGCAAACATACCGATGCAACCCTGTCCGACAATAAGGACCTTTTCTCCGATGCGCGGATCAACACGCCGGCAGCAATGCATCGCGACACCAGAGATGCCGAAGAGGGCGGCTTCGCCTGGATCAACGTCCTCTGACAATTTGAGCAGGAGTCCATCTTCCGGAATAGTGAACCGTTCGACATGATTCACACTGGCATAGATGAGGTCGCCGACCTGAAGTTGCGTTACGTCCGGGCCTGTTTCAATAACTCTGCCTACGTTCTGGTATCCATCGGTGGTTGGCAGCCGGCTATCCGAGGCTGAATAGTTCCCACCGATCAGTTGATTCCGTTCTGTGCCGTTGGTAAGCCCTGTGAAGACAGCTTGACACAGCACCTCGTTCCCGGTAGGTGGTGCTGGTTCTTCCCAATCGGTGACAACAATTTTTTCGCGCTTTTTATCTGGCAATAATTTAACAACAAGTGCTCTCACAATCTTAACCGCTCCTTAGAGAAATTTAATGTCGATTCGCCGTTTAATTATCCGAAACTCGTAGATTTGTCAAGGAATTTCAGAATTTTTGGCTGCTATCGCGAGTGACTTTGAAAATCTGTTTGACAGATTGTCGCGTTTTTTATACAATCTTTTAAAATTATTTCAACCAAAATAAGTCGGAAGTGATCGAACGATTTTTCATTTTTCACGTTACTTTTACAATTAAGAATTAAGGAGATCCCTATGCCGAAACGTGTTAATAAAGCGATTGAATTGTTAGCAGATGACCTGCCTGTCTTTTATACCGGCAGTCACACGGGCGCGGAACTGAATTATGACGCGGGCCGCGCGATGGCAAACACTTGGGCGGACTATATCAACGTCGGCATGGAGCACGGGAGTTTTGATCTCTCCGGATTGGATAGCTTCATGCGCGGGCTCGCTGACAGCGGTCCCACCAATAGCGGGCACCAAACCCCGGCTGTTATTGTTGAATTACCAGTAGATGGCATCAGCGCAGATGTGATTCGCGCCAACGGTTGGCAGATGCGGCAACTCCTCGCACGCGGTGTGCACGGCTTGCTACTTTGTCACGCTGAATCGCCAGAAGCAGTCAAGGCGTTTGTTGAAGCGTGCCGTTACCCATTCCAGACTATCGGCGTTGGCACACAATTGGATGTTGGAAGGCGTGGCTCCGCGGGGCAAGGTTCCGCTGCACCTATCTGGGGCATTTCCGTTGACAAATACTTGGATGTCGCTGATCCATGGCCACTGAACCCGAGCGGTGAACTCCTATTGGGCCTCAAATTTGAAAACAAGCGAGCTTTAGCGAACGTCGAGATCACGGCGCAGGTCCCCGGAATAGCCTTCGCTGAATGGGGTCCCGGTGACATGAGCATGTCATTTGGCTACAAAAATCCACCGAACCCACGTCCACAAGAATTGGAAGATGCCCGGAATCGCGTCGCTGCGGCGTGCAAAGCTACCGGTATTGCGTTCTTGGAAAGCGCATCGCCTGATACAATTGAGGCGAGCATCGACGCTGGTGTGCGGATCACCGGTGGAGGCGAAGAAGCTGCACGCATCGGACGGGCGTACGCCGGTAGAACAATGCCCGTCTAAAACCTATCTCTTTACCTACAGCGCGAGACCCGATGTCTCGTACCAGCGCGGCGTACATATATTCAGAAAAGGGACACAGATGGAAGCCATCTTTAGATTCGATCCCATCTACCGAAGGGACCCTATATAAGCCTGAAACTAGACTGGATTACGCGAAATAGAGAGAACCTCTTACTAGCCCATACAGTCCAGCCCGTGCAGAAGGCGACGCTACATAAAGGCACGTGAAGGCCCCAACCTACGTTACTTAACCGCAAGGAAAATTAGAAAAATGGCACTAACAGAACAGGAAATGTTGGCGGAACTGCGCAAATATGATACACCGTCAATCACAAATGTGGTCGCTACGTATCCGGGGAGCCCGCTCTGCCTTGGACTTTACAATCCATGGACAGAGAATTGGTACACAGATACAACCCTCCGTTGTATGTACCCTGAGCTTGGAGCCATCGCCGGTTATGCGGTGACGTGCGTCTACAGTGTACCGGATCCGAACTACTCAGAACTCTCCTTTATGGATGTCATCGATGCGATGGGTGCCTCCAAGCAACCGACAATCTTCGCATTTCAGCAGAAGTTCCCTCCTGAATTTGAGAATAAGGTCGGTTTAGCGGGTGGCAATATGACAGCAGCGATGAAATCGGTCGGTTGTCTCGGGAGCGATATCAAACGGTCCATCACGCGATATTGACGAGATTCGACCAATGGAATTTCAGTATCTGTTAAGCGGCATCACACCTGGACACGGTGCGATGGCAGTTCACGCTGTTAATGTCCCCGTCTCAATAGCGGGAATGGATGTCGCACCCGGTGAAATTATCCACATGGATGAGAACGGCGCGTGTAAGTTTCCGGCGGATAAACTGGAGGCGGTCCTGACGAACGTCAAGGCGTTACTTGAAGAAGAGGGCGATCGGATTGGGAAACTGCTCTCAGGTCCGAAGACAGCGAAGCAGGTCCGTGCAATTTTCAGCGGACACTCTTATGCAGAAGACGAAGAAGAATAGACCGATTTCTCTGCATAACTCTCAATGCCGGTTTCAAGATTGAAGCCGGCACCACGCTGAAGCAAGATTTATGGAGGCACACATGGCATCTGCTGCAGCCCACACTCACCTAACACCTGAAGAATATCTCGCTTTTGAGCGCAAGGCGACGACTAAACACGAATATCTGAACGGACAGATAGTCGCCATGTCCGGTGCCAGTTTCGCGCATAATTTCCTCACGATGAATACGGCGAATCAACTCTACAACCAATTAATAGGCGGAGAATGTCAAGTCGCTACAAGCGATATGCGTGTGAAGGTTACCCAAATAGACTCCTACTTTTACCCGGATGTTGTCGTTGTTTGCGGTGAACCGCGTGCTGAAGATGATACTTTTGACACCCTCCTGAATCCGACTGTCGTCGTAGAAGTCCTTTCCCCGTCGACCGAAACTTATGATAGAGGTGAGAAATTTGAGCATTATCAACAAATTGCCTCCTTAAAGGAGTATGTTCTCATTTCTCAGGACAAGATTCGCGTTGAACATTATCATCGCCAAGAGACCGGGTGGATGCAGACCGAGTTTCGGGGACTTGAGGATGTCCTATCACTTCTCTCTATAGGCTGTGAACTCCGTTTGCAGGATGTCTACAGACGCGTCGAGGTCGCTTCGGGTTAATCTCAAAAGTTTGAAAAACGTCAAAGGCCTCATAGAAATTATTTGTCAGAGATACAAAAATTCTATATAATAGTTAGACGAGGATATTTCGGTAAGAAATCCTTTCCCCAATTTCTGCATGAGTTAGATTGTAAGCATAAATCTGCTATCAAATTTCCGATTGTGTCCCTTGTGTATTAGGTCTACAAACGGTGTGTTGTAGGGTGGAGTTTGTAGATTTTCAATACCGCGATACGAAACGCACCAACCGAATGCCTTTAATAAAAACACTTAAATCAAAACAGGATAAACAATGGACAACGTCTTTGAAGCCCTAAACGAACGGGGTTTTATCAAACAGACTACAAACGCTGAGCAGATCGCGCGTCTATTGGCTGAAGAACAGGTTACCTACTATATCGGCTTTGATGCGACAGCACCGAGTCTGCACGCCGGAAGTCTGGTCCCCATAATGGCAATGGCACACCTGCAACGCGCCGGACATAAGCCTATTGCAATCATCGGTGGAGGCACAACGATGATTGGCGATCCGACAGACAAGACCGAGACGCGCCCCATGTTGTCGCAGGAACAAATTTCAGCAAATGGCAAAGGTATCCTTGCACAGCTGCAACGTTACTTAAATCTTGACAACGGAATAGCAGATAGCGAGAACTCGCATATTGCATCGAAAGTAGGTAGATTTCTCAACAACGCTGATTGGCTGTTGTCTGTAAATTACATTGAATTTCTACGCGACATCGGCAAACACTTTCGGGTCAATGAGATGATTCGGGCAGAAGGTTATCGACAACGTCTTGAACGTGAACTCGGACTTTCATTCCTTGAATTTAACTATCAACTGCTACAAGCTTACGATTATTTATGTCTTTTTCAGAAATATGGGTGCCGTCTCCAACTCGGCGGGGACGACCAATGGGGCAATATCCTTGCGGGTGTCGATCTCGTCCGTCGAATTGAAAGCGAACGGGTTCACGCAGTCACTTTTCCACTGCTCACTACAGCGAGCGGTGCGAAGATGGGAAAAACCGCAGGCGGTGCAGTTTGGCTTGATGCTGAACGGACATCACCGTATGAATTTTATCAATACTGGATTAACGTGGACGATCGCGATGTCTCCCGGTTCTTAGGGTACTTCACCTTCCTTCCAATGGATGAGATTCGACGACTCGGCAATCTGGAAGATGAAGCAATTCGGGAGGCAAAGGAAGTCCTCGCGTATGAAGCCACGCAACTTGCACACGGAAAAGCGGAAGCGGACAAAGCACAAGCCGCATCACGCGCTGCGTTTGGCGGTGGAAATCTTGACGAAGCCGAGATGCCAACTACGGTTATCACATCGGAACGACTTGACAGCGGTATTCCAATCATGGAACTGTTCCATGAAATCGGGTTGGCAAATTCACGTAGCGACGCGCGGCGGCTTATTCAACAAGGGGGTGCCTACATCAACGAAAAACAGTGCCGTGCGATAGATATGGTCATTGGTACCGACCTGCTTGAGGAGAATGCTTTGCTTCTCCGTGCCGGCAAGAAGCGTTATCATAGAATTGTTTTAAAAGAGAACTAATAATTAAAGTAATATTTATTAGCGTGCTTACTTCCAAGCGCGCATTATTATAAAGCGGCTATCAGTGTATTTCCACAAGAGTACCGATAACCAGAGAGGTATGAGTATGACGGTTGATAATCCGAAAGGGGTTGATGAAGAGGCAATCTCTCCAAAGCATTCTAACGAAGGCGATCGGACCGGGCTAACTTTCACGCCCTATTTTACCACGTCCGGCGTTCATCCCTACGATTTGTTGGAGTGGGAACGCCGCGATGCCGTCATCTACAATGAAAAGGGTGATGTCATCTTTAAACAGGAGCAGGTTGAAGTACCGGCAAGCTGGACGCAGCTCGCGACAGATATTGCGTCGTCGAAATATTTCCGAAAAGCTGGAGTCCCCGGTGCAGAATCGGAGGACAGTGCTCGTCAATTGGTTACCCGCGTGGCGCGCACGCTCCGTCGCGCAGGCGAAGAACTCGGGGGGTATTTTGCTACCCCTGAAGACGCAGAAACGTTTGAGATGGAATTGACGCATATCCTCGTTACACAACGGGGTGCTTTCAATTCGCCTGTTTGGTTTAACTGCGGCTTGTGGCATGAATATAATATCGAGGGGGGCGGCGGCAACTACTATTGGGACCGAGACGCACAGGAAGTCAAGGTCACTACCAATGCGTATGAACACCCGCAAAATTCCGCCTGCTTCATTCAAAGCGTTGACGATTCTCTGGACTCTATGTTGGAGCTCCAGAGATCTGAAGTGCGTCTCTTTAAATACGGCAGTGGCACAGGCTCCAACTTCAGCAAAGTTCGCGCGAAGGGTGAACTCCTCTCCGGCGGTGGCGAGAGTTCGGGGGTACTGTCATTCCTTGAAGGCTTCGATCGATGGGCAGGCAGTATCAAATCTGGTGGCACCACAAGACGCGCAGCCAAAATGGTTATCCTCGACATGGATCACCCAGAGATTGCTGACTATATTGACTGGAAACTCAGGGAAGAGAATAAAGCAAAGGCACTCATCGCCGCAGGATATCCAGCCGATTTCAATGGCGAGGCATACAGCACTGTCAGCGGACAGAACAGCAACAACTCCGTCCGGATTCCAGATGATTTCATGAATGCCTACTTACAGGGCGATTCATGGAAAACTACGTACCGGACAAGTGGTGAAGTTGCCGACGAATATGATGCCAGAACACTCATGGAGAAGATCGCCTATGCCGCTTGGGCATGCGCAGATCCGGGTGTCCAGTTTGACAGCACGATTCAGAAATGGCATACATGTAAAAACACGGGCAGGATTAACGCAAGTAATCCGTGCAGTGAATACCTCTTCTTAGACGATTCTGCCTGCAACCTCGCCAGCATTAACCTTGCCAAATTCTTGAGAGATGATAATACCTTTGACATTGAGGGTTTCCGCGCCACTGTTCGTGTGTTCGCCACTGCGATGGAAATCATAGTAGATCTCTCTTCATACCCAACTGAAGGTATAGCACAGCGTTCTCATGAATATCGTCCCCTCGGACTCGGTTATGCTAACTTGGGTGCACTCTTGATGCGTTTAGGTATTCCTTACGACAGTGACCAAGCCTATGCCTACGCAGGTGCCATTACTGCTATCCTGAGTGGTAAGGGGTATCAAACAAGTGCAGAGATTGCTGGGAGTATTGGTCCTTTTGCTGGGTACGTGAAGAATAGCGACACTATGTTAGACGTTATGCGGATGCACCGCGATGCCGCCTACAGTATCGATTCGATAGCATGCCCACCCGACCTTTTAGAGGCTGCAAAAGCGGATTGGGATGTCTGTCTTGAAAAGGGAGAACGTTGGGGTTATCGGAATTCCCAAATTAGTGTTATCGCTCCGACGGGAACTATCTCTTTCCTGATGGATTGTGATACGACAGGGATTGAACCGGAGTTCGCTCTCGTCAAATTCAAGAAGTTGGCAGGCGGCGGGTACATGAAAATTGTCAACCAGAGCGTTCGCGATGCCTTGTACAACTTAGATTATACACTTCAGCAAACTGAAGCTATTATTAAGTATCTCATCGGAACAGGCACTTTTGAAGGGACACCGCATATCAATGCCGATACATTGAAGCGGAAAGGCTTCACACAGAAAGATATCGCCCACGTTGCGGAGATGTTACCGAGTGCGTTCGACCTAAATCTTGCCTTTGCCCCGGGCTTTCTTGGAGAAGAGTGTCTTAAACGGTTAGGTATAACCGAAGAAGCAGCAGCAGATCCCAGTTTTAACCTCCTCCCTGCAATTGGATTTAGTGAAGATGAAATTAGTATTGCTGAAGAAGTCATCTGTGGTACAGGCACGATTGAGGGCGCGCCACATCTCTCACCGACGCACTACCCCGTTTTCGATTGTGCCGTCCAGTGTGGTAAGCACGGAACTCGTTATATAAATCACATGGGACCGTTGAAAATGATGGCGGCTGTGCAACCCTTTATCTCTGGTGCTATCTCCAAGACCGTCAACGTCCCGCGCGACGCAACGGTAGATGACATCAAGACGTTATACATGGAAGCGTGGCGACGCGGTGTCAAATGTCTCGCCGTTTATCGTGATGGTAGCAAAGGTAGCCAACCGCTTTCAACCCGAAGCCAACAGGATGCGGAGAGTGAAACCGATAAGGCTATTGCTGATGCTCTCACTGAGCGTCCCATCAGGAAACGTCTCTCAGACACGCGTCTTCTCTTACGCACAAATTTAGCGTTGGTGGTCATGAAGGCTACATCCATGTTGGGTTTTATGAAGATGGTAACCCTGGAGAAGTCTTCCTCCGCATGAGCAAAGAAGGAACAGCCGTCTCTGGACTGATGGACTCTGTCGCGGTCCTCACCTCTATTGCGTTGCAGTACGGTGTGCCGTTAGAGTCGCTCGTCAATAAATTCAGTCATGTCCGGTTTGAACCGTCAGGCTTTACATCTAACCCTGACATTCCGATGGCGAAGTCGATTATAGATTACGTTTTCCGGTGGCTTGGCACACAGTTTCTCGCTCAGGACCCACAGGGTGAGTCCAATATGATAGATATGGATGCAGAGATGGTGCCTCCCGAGGAACTCCATCCTTACGGGCATGGTAGTAACGGTGACACAGATTCACGGTTGGCGCATGAGAAGCAAATTTCGCTTCAACATGCAGATTCACCGCCGTGCCTTGAATGTGGTTCCCTTATGGTGAGAAGTGGTGTCTGCTATCGCTGCACGAATTGTGGTTCAACGAGCGGATGCTCCTAATTTCCTGTTTCAACAGATTATAGGCGCGCTTCGCAAGCGCGCCTCTTTTTTTGACATAGACAGGTGTGTAAGTGCCCTTCAATTTTGCCGTACACCTAAATACGCTTAGGATCATTGAGTCCTCCTGTAGGAGGAATTTCCGAATCCCGACGCCTGCCCGCCCGATGGCTGATCGCTGATCGCTATTGTAGGAGCGACCTCCCGGTCGCGATTTATTCCACAGAACCGACAGAAAACCGAAAACCAATAGCCCTAAAACACGCTCAGAAGCATTCAGTTCTTCTGTAGGAGGGAACTCCGATTCCCGACATACCCCAGTAGGAGCGACCTCTAAATCGCGACTTTCCAACCAAAGTGGTTAAAAAACCGAAAACTGAATGGCTCTAAAACACGCTCCGATTTCATTGCTTTTAAGTTGACAGATAGGTTATAATAGGAAGGCTTGAGTTGAGTAGATGGTCGCGTCCCGATCGTAACCTTACCATCGGGATGAGGAAAGTCCGGACTCCACAGGGCAGGATGCTGGGTAACACCCAGGAGCGGCGACGCTATGGAAAGTGCAACAGAGAGTAGACTACAACGCCTGCTTTTATATAGAAAGTTGGGCGTTGTACAGGTGAAACGGTGCGGTAAAAGCGCACCAGTCCATAAGGTGACTTATGGAGCTCGGTAAACCCCATCTGGAGCAAGGTAAAAGGGGGACATATACAGGTGTGCCCGCCTCGTCCCCAGGTAACCGCTTGAGGTGGATGGTAACATCCATCCCAGATGAATGACTGTCACATACAGAATCCGGCTTATTCTCAACTCAAGCTCTTTTGATTTCCACATTGCAGCATTGCTAATTAGACATTTTTCAGTCTTTCATTGGTAAGGTATGCGTTCCAGACCAAGGTATTAAGACGAAAATCCGCCGCCACCAGGTGTCTCTATGCGAATGACATCACCCTCGCGCGTAGAAACGGATACCTTGCCAGGCAATGGACGTTCTTCTCCACCAGAAATTAGCACGTTACGTCCGGGTTTTCCCGGTTCACCGCCTTGCAAGCCATAAGGACCCCGCGTCCGGCGTTCTGAAAGGATCGTAACTTCCGCGTCTGTAAGAAGTCGTAGTGCCCGAATGACACCTGCACCACCACGGAATTTCCCCGCGCCACCTGTTCCACGTCGGATTGCATATTCTACCACCTGCATTGGATAGTTCGTCTCAATTGCCTCTATAGGCGTGTTCATCGTATTGGTCATATGCGTATGGATGGCATCAATTCCGTCTCGGTTTGGGCGCGCTCCCATCCCGCCTGCAATAGTTTCGTAATAAGTAAAGTCCTTCCCGCGCGAAACATCGTAACCCCCTATTGTGAGGTTATTCATGGTACCGGAACTCGCAGCGGGAATCTGATCAGGACAAGCTTGCGCCAATGCCCCGAGCAAAACATCAACAATACGCTGTGATGTTTCGACATTTCCCCCTGCGACTGCTGCCGGAAACTTTGCATTCACAACGGTTCCCTCTGGCGCGATGACTCGGATCGGTTCTAAACACCCAGCATTGGCAGGAACGTCTGCACCGGCGATACATCGAAAGGCATAAAAAACAGCGGAGAGCGCAATCGCGTAAATCGCGTTAACTGAACCTTGGACCTGCTTAGCCGTGCCAGTGAAGTCAACTAATGCGGTATCATCTTCGATCTCAATAGCAACCCGTATCTCAATAGGCGCATCAGTGATGCCGTCATTGTCAAGGACATCGGTATATATGTAGCGTCCATCCGGAATTTCCCGAAGGCGTGCCCTGACCATCCGACTCGCATACGCGCAGAGTTCCTGCATGTACGCCGTAATCTCTGTCGCACCATACTTGCCCATCATCTCCCATAGTCGCCGTTCACCGACACGGTTCGCAGCGATCTGCGCTTCCATATCACCACGGCGCTCCTCAGGCGTGCGGACATTCGCGAGAATGAATTCCCAAAGGTCGGTGTCCAATTCTCCACCTCGAATGAGTTTAATGGGAGGAATTCGGATGCCTTCCTGAATTACACTCGTCGCAATTGGCATTGAACCGGGGGACATCCCGCCCACGTCCGCGTGATGTGCGCGATTTGCAACAAAGAAGACAGGACGCTTCTCTGCTCCGCCCGTCCCTTCATTTGAGAATACTGGCGCGACGAGTGTAATATCGGGTAGGTGGGTACCACCGCGATATGGATCATTAAGCGCAATCATATCGCCGGGCACCATTTCTGTATGGGCAATAGCAGCGAGAACCGAAAGTGGCATGGAACCGAGATGCACAGGAATATGAGCGGCTTGTGCAACCATCTTACCGGTGCTATCAAACACGGCACATGAAAAATCAAGCCGTTCCTTGATGTTCGGTGAGAACGCCGTGCATTGTAGCGTTACGCCCATCTCCTCGGCAACCGAGGTCAGCATATTTTTATAAAGCTCAAGTTTGATAGGATCAGCATTCATTGCGTTCATGGTATTTGTACGAGTTGGATGGAGTCCATCTTAGTTTAGACCCAAAACACTAAGCCTGAAACGTAGGGGCTGGGTAACCCAGCCCGTACAGAAGGCGATTCTACACAGAGGCACCTGAATGCCCAACCTACGTTACTTAACCGCAAGGAAAATTAGAAAAATGTTCAGAAGGTAGTTGCATTTTAACATTTCTTCCTATAATATGCAAGGAAAGATTCGTTAGGAGGATCCTAGATGGAAAAAGTCAATATTGCGCTAATCGGCGCGGGTGGGATGGCAAACGGTGTCCATTATCCGTCGCTCAGAGAGTGTGAAGATGTGAATCTTGTTGGATTGTGTGATATGGTCCCATCAAAGCTTCAGGCAACAGCGGAACGCTTTGAGATTGAGGAAACGTTCACTGACTATAAACAGATGCTTGAAAAGACGAGTCCCGATGCGGTGTATATCCTAATGCCGCCGCAACATCTATTTCCGCTCGCCATCCACTGTCTCTCGCAGCAGCACCACGTTTTTATTGAGAAACCTCCCGGTGTTACACTTCATCAAACCAAGGAAATGGCACGCGCTGCAGAGAAAAACAACTGTAAGTCAATGGTAGGTTTCAACCGTCGCTTTATCCCACTCTTGCGAAAGGTCAAAACAATAGTCGAAAAGCAAGGTCCGATCATTCAGTGCATGTCAACCTTCCACAAAAACACACCCGACGCACACTATTACGACGGTGTGATAGACGTTTTAACATGTGATGCGATTCACGCCGTGGACGCACTCCGATGGCTTGGCGGTGGTGAAGTGAAAGCCGTCGCGAGCGACATCAATAGTTTCTACTCCGAGCGCGAAAACAGTTTCAACGCACTTGTTAAATTTACCAGCGGTGCCTCAGGTTATCTTTGTACCAACTGGTCAGTTGGAGGGCGTATCCATACATTTGAGATGCATGCGCGTGAGATTTCCGCCTATATCAACCCCGACGCGGGTGGACGTGCCATCCTTCATACACCCAAAGGCACAACTGAAATCACCCCTGAAGAAGCCGCTGGATCTGACGCTTCACACAGAGCTTACGGATTTTATGGAGAGAGCAGACATTTTGTCGACTGTATTCAGCAGAACCAGCAACCGTTAACCTGCTTCGCGGACGCAGTCAAGACGATGGAACTCGTGACGGCTATCTATCAAAATCGGATAGATGCTTGAACAGCCAGAATATAAAATAAATTGGCACGTTTCTTGCTACAAAATTATAATGATAGGTCACTTGTGAAAACTATGGATACACACCACGTATCAGTTTTATGTGATAAAGTGATTGGCTTTCTCAGTCCAAAACCGGATGGGTGTTTACATAGATGGCACTGTCGGATTAGGAGGGCATAGCACTGCTATTTTAGAGACTTCCGCACCGAATGGGCGTGTGATCGGAATTGATTTAGATGTTGAGGCTCTTACTATCGCAAAAAGTAGATTACACGTCTTCGGGGAGCGTTATTCTCTCATTAATGGTAATTTTGCTGAGATGGATGTCTTATTGGAAAGACACTCGGTTCACGCCGTAGACGGTATCCTACTTGACTTAGGGGTATCGTCCCTGCAGCTGGACGCACCACACCGAGGTTTCAGTTTTAACCATACCGGTCCGTTAGATATGCGCATGAATGCGCGGCAGGTGTTAAATAGAGAGCGGGAAGCGGCTCTTACAGCGATGCAGGTAGTCAACGACAGTCCAATGGATGTCCTTGTTGAAATTTTCAAACGGTACGGCGAAGAGCGATTCGCGAAACGGATTGCCCATCGGATTATTCAGACGAGACGAGAAACACCGATAGCGACGACAACGCAACTCGCAGAGATTGTCAAGCAAGCCGTCCCCCACGGCGTATCCAAAATCCATCCTGCGACCCGTGTCTTTCAGGCACTCCGCATTCATATCAACGCCGAATTGGAAAATCTTGCGATGGGTTTGGACGTTGCGATACAGCTTTTGAAACCGGGCGGTTGTCTGTGTGTAATCGCGTTTCATTCACTTGAAGATAGAATAGTCAAGCACCGTTTCCGGACATGCGCACGGACGTGCATCTGTCTACCGAAAACGCCCATCTGTATTTGTGAACACACCGCATCTCTGGAAATTCTCACGAAGCGTCCTATATTACCAGACGCGGTCGAAGTTCAACATAATCCGCGAGCGCGGAGTGCTAAACTGCGCGTCGCTCGCAAATTGTAGGGTAAGGTGCCTCTATTTCCCGCGCTATGAAAGAAAAAAATGTATCTTAAATACAGTATTCAACGTTTAAAAAAAGTGAACCTTTGTCACCTAATGAATATGCGCGGAAAATTTGTAAAAGGACGTAGCATCGGCGCATAGAGCCCGTCCTCCAACTCGGTTCAGGCAGTTGAATAAATGCAAACATCACATAATAGTCATTCGACACGCATTACGAAAACAGAAGACCCAAAACCGAAAAAGAGATTTCCGTTAGCGTATATTGTTTTGGTGCTATCTTTCTGTACCTTCGCTAGCAGTATCTGGTTCTCATCTTACGCCAAGAAAGTTGCTTTACAACGACAGCCTACTTACGAGAGACAGAAGCGTCAAATTCAGGACGAAATTCATCGATTTGAATTGAAAGAATCAACCTTAACTGGTGTGCAAAGGATTCGGCAAATCGCGACTGAGCTCGGAATGGTTGAACCCACCGAAGCCTCGCAGATAGTCTGGGATAAATAGTTTCATCTTTTAGGGTTAATGTGCCCTTTTTGTCCTTTTGGTAAGCACTCATATTTATATTCATTTGGTAGGAAAAACATGAAAAACAATTCACATTTATCTATTCGCCGACTTGTTTTCGTCCTTATTATACTGCAGGTGGGTTTCCTGTTATTGGTTGGTAAACTGTTCAAAGTACAGATCGCCAGCGATATGGCGCACCAAGGACCAACTGGACACCCTTGGAACTCTCCGCGCACAGCAGCGATAAAACGAGGCAAAATTTTGGACAGACATGGGAATGTTTTAGCCCTGAGTCGTCACAGCCTCTCCGTCTATGCTGATCCCACGTATATGAAGACCGATCCGAGTGAAGCTGCTCGCAGGCTTGCCCCGGTTTTAGGTGTTCCCGAATCTGAATTGCTTACCCAACTTCGCCGCAAGGATAAGCGGTTTGTATGGCTCAAAAAGGATATGGATTACGAGCTGCTTGACGAGATTCGAGCAATTGAGAAAGACATTCGTGGCATAAAGCACGAGGTCGAACAGCAACGCGCCTATCCGAAAGGGAAACTCGCCGCCCAAGTCATTGGACATATAAACGATCAGAATATGGGTGAGGGAATTGAGTATCACTACAACAATTACCTTTTGAGCGCGAGGCAGGGACAGGCAGCGCGGCGGGCAGAAGCCGCTCGCAATGAACCCATAAACTTGTTAACCAACGGTGACTCTACTGATGATTATGGGTATAGTGTCGTCTTGACGCTTGACGAATATATTCAGTACGTCGCCGAGAAGGAATTAGCAGCAGCGTGTCGAAAATGGAACGCCCCGCGGGGTACAGTCATCGTCTTGGCATCAAAAACGGCAGAGATATTGGCACTTGCAAGCTACCCCTCGTACGATTTGAATCATTACACGCTCGGGAGCGAGCAAGCAAAAAGGAATCTCGGTGTTTGGTTTGCGTATGAACCCGGTTCGATTTTTAAAATCATTGCATCCTCCGCTATCCTGAACGAGGGTATTATGAGCCCTGAGTCAACGGTTTTTTGCGAGAATGGACGGTATCGACTCGCAAACGGTAGAATCATCCGCGACGTATCGGGAAAAGGATGGCTTACCTTAGAACAAGTCCTCCACAAATCGAGTAATATCGGTATGATTAAAATTGTGAAGGAATTGGGACGTGAGAACTTTAGTACTTACATTGAGAAGTACGGCTTTGGGAAAGCAACCGGTGTAGACCTGCCTTATGAACACAGTGGAAGTCTTTATGCCGTAAAGCACTGGGATACGCATTCCCTTGGCTCCGTCCCCTTTGGACAAGGGATTATGGTGACCCCTCTTCAGATGGTGAGCGCGTTAAACGTCATTGCAAACGGTGGAAAACTCCTCCGTCCACATATTACCCGAGAAATTCGGGACAGTAGCGGAAAGGTGATTGAAAAGAAATACGCCATTGAAGTCCGACAGGTAATCCGCCCGACAGTAGCAAAACAGATGACAGACATACTTGTCGGTGTGGTTGAAGGTGGGAGTGGCCGGCGGGCACGTATTGAAGGATACCGCGTGGCAGGAAAAACAGGAACCGCCCAAAAAGCCGAAAAAAATGGTCGGGGTTACGCAGGGAAAGAAATCATGTCCTTTATGGGGTTCCTACCCGCAGAGAATCCTATGGTATCCATAATCGTCATGCTTGATGAACCGAGAGGGGCACGTTTCAGTGGACAAATCGCCGGACCTCTTTTTCAGCAAGTCGCTGCCCAAACAATGCAATACTTGAAGCAAACCGAGTTCTTCGGACCCCAACCTCAAAAGTCCCCCGAATTTTCACCTGTTGCGACAAAACAATCACCGACGCAACGCCTTACTGTGAAAGGAGAGGGGCTGTGAAGCTTCATGAACTGCTCCGCGGGCTTAACATTACCACAAGTTCTGGATCGCTGGATATTGATATTACGGGTGTCGCCAGTGATAATCGGAAAGTCGAACTCGGTAATGTTTTTGTCTGTTATCAAGGCATCAGTGTGGATAGTCACAACTTCATTCCAGATGCACTTCAAAAAGGAGCAGCAGTTGTCATTGGTGAAAAACCGATAACAACTATAGAGACACAAGGAAAACCGATTACCTATGTGCAAGTTCCCTGCGGACGCCGAGCACTGTCCTTGATCGCCGCCAATTGGCACGGGAACCCCGCAAAACGCCTTAAACTCATCGGTATTACAGGCACCAACGGTAAAACCTCAACGGCACACCTCATACATGCTATATTCAAGGCAAGTGGGCGGAAAACTGCACGCATTGGAACAGTCGGACACCAGTACACGAATGCCCAAGGCGAAGAGGAAACTCTCTCTGCTTCCCTCACAACTCCCGACGCGTTCGCACTCCATGCTCTTTTCAAGCAGTTTACTGAGGACGACGTAGAATACGTTACAATGGAAACCTCCTCCCAAGGGTTAGCACTGCAGCGACTCGCAGGGCTTACCTTCGATACCGCTGTTTTTACCAACTTCACCCAGGACCACCTTGATTACCATCAAACGATGGAAGCATATTTAAAGGCGAAACTGATGCTGTTCGAGCAACTCGACAACGAAGGAGTTGCGATTTTGAACAGCGACTCACCGGTAGCGGAGTGCATCGTCCACGCCTGCTCTGATTTGCGGAAACCTATGATGTACGGGCTTGGTGAAAAAGCGGATCTACATGCCGAGGATATTAATTTTTCTTATAATCGATTGGCGTTTACAGCGGTTACGCCAGATGGACGAATCCCCGCTAAGTTACGATTACTCGGAGAATACAACCTTTATAACGCTCTTGCCGCCATTGCTGTTGGGCTTCGTTACGATTGTCCAATCTCAGCAATTCAGGAAGGCCTTGCCGCTACTGTAGTTCCCGGTCGGTTTGAACTCATTGATCGAGGACAGGATTTCGCCGTCATCGTTGACTACGCACATACACCCGATGGCTTAGAAAATGTGTTGACTGCCGCCAAGCGCGTTACTGAACGTAATTTGATTTGTGCTTTCGGATGCGGTGGCGATAGGGATAACGGAAAGCGTCCTAAGATGGGAAATATTTCTGCCCAAATTGCGGATTATAGCGTGATTACTTCCGACAATCCGCGCACCGAAGATCCCGATGAAATCATCGCGCAAATTGTGTCAAATTTACCACATGCTACCAAATATGTGTGTATTTCAGAGAGACGGGACGCTATCCATCACGCAATCGCGATGGCAAAATCCGGTGATGTTGTTGTCATCGCGGGTAAAGGGCATGAGGATTATCAGGAAATCAATGGCAAAAGATTTCCCTTTGACGACAGAGTTGTGGCTTCAGATATTTTGGAATCCTTCTAAGCGTCCTGCAACCGCGAAATATTTGTAGATGTCAAGCACGGAAATTAACAACCTCAACATCTCATATCAGGTTGCCGGAGAGGGCGACGTAGTTCTCCTCTTGCATGGCTGGGGTGGTGAAGCGGCGAGTTTTCAACCGGTTTTTGAGTGGCTCACACAATCTCACAAAGTCTACGCACTTGATTTGCCGGGGTTCGGTAAGAGTCAGATTCCACCTACAGCGTGGAATACCTCCGACTATGCGCAGTTCGTTATAGCGTTTCTGGAGAAGTTTGGCATTCCGAAGGCTCACTTCATCGGTCACTCCTTTGGCGGTAGAATTTCGATTATCGTCTCAGCGGAATATCCTGAAAAAGTCGATAAACTCATCTTGGTTGACAGCGCGGGAATCAAACCGCGTCGAACTGCAAAATACCATCTTCGCGTAGGTTTGGCAAAAATTGGTAAATTGCTCCGTCGATGTGGGAAATATGGTGTTCTCGTTGCAGACGCGATGTCCGCACGTGCCGGCTCTAAAGACTATCAGAATGCTGGAGATATGCGTGCCACGCTTGTCAAAGTCGTGAATCAAGATCTGCGTCCGCTCTTGCCTCGGATAACCGCATCAACACTGTTAATCTGGGGTGAAGACGACACGGATACACCCGTGTCTTTCGGACAAATTATGGAGAAAGAAATACCTGACGCAGGATTAGTTGTCCTAAAGGAAGCGGGGCATTTTTCGTACCTTGATCAGTTTCCGCAGTTTTGCCGAATTGTCGCAAGTTTTCTGAATTCTTAACTGGTACAGGACTTACGCAAATGGGTTAGAAAAAGGGATATTTAGACGCGAAAACGGGCATTGCGGCACTTTTAACCCCCTAAATCCCCCTTATCAGGGGGACTTTAAGAGGAAATGCGTAAGTCCTATGGTAGTAGGCAGTCAGCAATTAGCAGTTAGCAGTCGGTAAAGAGGTTTTCGTTTAACAAAGGTAAAATTAACACCAAACGTGTAGCCCGTAATGAAATTATGCCTTAAATGGCATAATTTGTCTTTGCTTTACATTTGGAGGGCGGATTTGAGGAACACACGCCAAAGTCCAAACGGACGCTGTTCCTCCGCAAGGTAAAATTAAAAAATGTTTTTCTACTTCGCGACGCTAACCTGTTTAGTAAGAGCTGTCGTCAGGACCACGCGTGGACTCCACATACTCCAACTCGATGGCTATAAGACCGGTCGGTACCTGAAGTGGATACATCAGCACCTGAGAAATTGTTTTGAAACGAAAGAGATTCTCGTTATTGGTGGGATTCTCATTCTGACCGCGTTCTACCCACAATATAACGATACGTGGCTGTTTCCTGTACTGTGCTTGGTTTGGGGAGGGTTCCAAATCTATATGAGCACGCAGCGGAAAAAGGTTGAAGCAAAAAAACCGCTCGTTTACACGGCACGCGCGAAACGGGTGTTTGGGCTCTCAATCTGCTTGCTCGTTGGCATCGCGACAACACTTGTACTTATAGCAAAGACAAGCCCGTGGCGAATCTCAATCTTCCTCTTTAGCGAAGTAACCGTCATTAATCTAACGATTGCTAATCTTCTTATCTACCCTTTGGAGCGTACCATAAATGGTGCGTATCTCTTTTCAGCAAAAAAACGAATCAAGACGTTCCAGCCCAAAGTTATCGGGATTACAGGAAGTTACGGCAAAACGAGTACTAAATATATTCTACATCAGATTTTGTCCGAAAAATTTAACACGCTGATGACACCCGATAGTTACAATACACCCATGGGTATCTGCAAGGTCATCCGCGGAGAACTTACCGCCGAACATGAGATATTTATCGTTGAAATGGGGGCTTACAAACGGGGTGACATCCGAGAGTTGTGTAACTTAGCATCCCCTCAAATCGGCATTCTCACAGCTGTTGGACCTCAGCACTTAGAACGATTCAAAAGCATAGAAAATATCGCCAAAACGAAATATGAGTTAATCGAATCACTCCCACCGGACGGGCTTGCGGTCTTCAATTGCGACAATGAAATCTGCGCTGGACTCGCCGATAAACGGGAGCATGATGGCAACCCGGTGCGTCGGTACGCGACAGAACCATTTCCTGTAGCCTCGTCTTCTGAGCGTGCCGAATTAACTGCCACAAATATTCAACACACCGACGAAGGTCTTACTTTCACAATACACACATCTGTCGGTACTACAGAAATTCGGACACAACTTTTGGGCAGGCATAACGTATCCAACATCCTCGCTGCAACGGCAGTTGCAACAGAATGTGGGATGACACTCGAGGAAATTCGGGTAGCAATCGCTAACGTTGCCCCTGTTCCACACCGCTTACAATTGACCGCCAGTGAAGGCAACGTAACCATCATTGACGATAGTTTCAACGCGAACCCCGTCGGAGCGAAAGCGGCACTCGAAGTTCTCACTGAAATCCAAGGTGGTAAAAAAGTGTTGGTAACACCTGGTATGGTAGAACTCGGCGAAAGGGAGTATGAAGAAAATAAACGTCTCGGAGAACACGCAGCCGATGTCTGTGATTTGGTCATTTTAGTGGGACCGAGACGGACTACCCCGATTTTAGACGGTTTGAAAGCCGCTCAATATCCAAACCAGCAAATCATTGTCGCACTCAACCTCGAAGAAGTCAAACAACATTTAGCAACACAGATGCAAGCCGGTGATGTTGTCCTTTTTGAAAACGACCTGCCTGACAACTATAATGAGGAACAGCAGTCGGCTATCGGTTGATAGTCTTTTTAATAATTCGCAAAGCGTTAGATTAAGCGGTTGGTTCTCTAGCAGTTTTCGTGTTCGAGTCGCCTGCGCCGTTGTTGCAGGCTGCTGTCTTTAGTTGCAGAATTAAAGATAAAACGTAACTGTAGTCCGTAATGAAATGGAGGACGGATAAACGGAAAGGAACGTCGAAAGTTCAGATGCCCCTGACCGAACCGCAAGGAAAAATTAAATGTCAAAATACAATGTAGCCCTTATATTTGGCGGATGCACACCTGAACACGAAGTCTCAATCGTAACTGCACACCAAGTTTGCATCGCTTTACAAGAAAATCATCGGGTCATTCCTATTTATGTCACGAAAAATGGCGAGTGGTTAACCAGCGATGCACTTCGCGATTTGTCCACCTTTATTGATGGAAATTTGCCACATCCAGCCGACTTCGACAAAGTCAGTGTTGAATTTCATCCGAACCCGCAATTTGTTGTTACCTCAAAACATTGGCTTGGTCAAAATGTTCGGAAAAGAACTGCTCTTCCGGTAGATGTCGTCTTTCCAGCAATACACGGCATGCATGGCGAAGATGGAACACTTCAAGGGTTACTTGAACTTATGAACCTGCCTTACGTTGGTGCGCAAGTCATCGGTTCCGCCGTCGGTATGGACAAAATTATGATGAAGGCGATCCTCAACGAAAATGAGCTTCCAATACTTCCCTATTTATGTTGGACCCATCATGATTGGAAGACGCGCCGTGACGAACTCCTCAAAAAGGTGGAAACATCGCTCTCTTACCCATTGTTTGTCAAGCCTGCAATGAGCGGCTCAAGTATCGGGGTCAGCCATGTTAAAAATCAGGATGAACTCTGCGCTGCTGCGGAAGTTGCAGGACATTATTCGCGCAGAATTCTCGTCGAAAAAGCGGTTGAGAATCCTCTCGAAATCAACTGTGCTGTAATGGGTACGGACGATCCAACCGCCTCTGTCTGCGAGCAACCTGTGACGCAGGCAAACTTTCTCAGTTTTGACGATAAATACATCCATCAAAACGGAGAATCTTCAGGAATGGCAGGTGCGGACAGGAAAATTCCTGCACCCATTTCAGAAGAATTGACGTTACATATACAAAATCTTGCGATACATACCTTTCAGGTTTTAGATTGCGCCGGTGTAGCACGTATCGATTTCCTCGTAGATGCGAACGAGAACGTTTACGTGAATGAAATCAACACCATTCCTGGATCATATAGTTACTACTTGTGGACGCATCAAGGCATTGAGTTTCCGCAACTTGTATCCGATCTCATCGATTTAGCACTTACGGCACATGCACAGAAAAATGCGTTAACCTATACATATACGACGAACCTCCTAAGCCAAGCAGGTGCGAGTCTTGCCAAATTGAAGAAGGGTGATAAATTAGGAGGCACTGCGTGAAATAATTTTCAGAGGAATAGCCATCAGCAGTCAGCAGTTAGCAAGAGGACTCTACTTCATCAGAAACCTCTTTGCTGATGGAAACTGAAAGCCGACAACCGACAGTCACTCTTCTGATAACTGATAACTATAAAAAATGTTTTACCATCTCCTATATGAGAATCTCGTTGAAGTCTTTTCGCCATTCAACATTTTTCGCTACATCAGTATCCGAGCGATTTATGCAACGGCGACATCGCTGGTTATCGCGCTTGTCTTGGGACCGTTCATGATAAATCGGCTCAAACAGCTCCGGATCGGCGAACACATACGCGAAGAGGGACCAAAAGATTACCAGAGCAAAGCAGGGACTCCAACAATGGGAGGCGTGCTTATTATCATTTCCGTCCTGATATCGGTAGTGTTCTGGTCGCGTTTGGATCAACCCTATATCTACTTGATGATCCTAACAACACTCTGGTTCGGCGGACTCGGATTCTTAGATGATTACAGCAAATTGGTAAAACAACAATCCTTAGGACTCCGAGGCTGGCATAAGATTGGACTTCAAACAGTAGGCGCATTAGTGATTGCCAGTTATCTTTACAAGTGGGGTCCTGTACATTATGTAACTGGAGATTTAACAACACGGACATCGCTGATCCTTCCTTTTTTCAAAGAGGTTCAGCCAAATTTAGGTATCCTGTTTATCCCTTTTGCAACTCTGGTCATCGTCGGGGCCTCTAATGCCGTCAATCTTACGGATGGGATGGACGGATTAGCAATTGGATGCACCCTGTTTGTTGCCGGGAACCTTAGGCATAGTCGGGTACATGACAAGCCACAGCGAGATTGCAGCGTACCTGAACATCTTCCACCTACCAGTAGGAGGAGAAGTTACAACAGTTTTCTGTGCAGCGTTAGTCGGTGCGGGCTTGGGATTTTTATGGTATAATGGGCATCCGGCGCAAGTCTTTATGGGAGATACTGGATCGCTGGCACTCGGTGCCACACTTGGAACAGTAGCCGTGCTTATAAAGCAGGAATTTCTACTCGTGATAGTCGGTGCCATTTTCGTCGTTGAAACATTATCGGTTATCATCCAAGTCTGGTCATTTCGCACATTTGGCAAACGTGTGTTCAAGATGTCTCCTATTCACTATCACTTCCTGCTCTCAGGGTGGAAGGAATCCAAAGTCGTCATCCGATTTTGGATTGTGGGGCTTATTTTGGTCTTAATAGCCTTAAGCACATTGAAACTTCGGTGAGGAGAATAGCGATCAGCAATCAGCGGTCAGCAGTCAGAAAAGATACCGTCGTCAACGCGGTCTTTGCTAATGGCTGATGGTTTCCGATGGCTGATGGCTAATAAAAAAGTGCAATTACAAGGAAAGCAGGTTACAGTTTTTGGCTTGAATCGGAGCGGGATCGCTGCGGCGAAATTACTATATTCACACGGTGCCGTTGTCACACTTACAGACACGCGTTCTCGTGAAGCACTATCAGCAGAAATGGCTATCAGCCATCAGAATCCATCAGAAACCATCAGCCAAGAAGCTGCCAGCGGGCCCGCTGACAGCCGACTACTGATTGCTAACTGCGAGTTTCAAACATATTTTAGTGGACATCCTTTGGAATGCATTACAGATGCCGATCTTATAGTGGTCTCCCCGGGTGTACCGCTCGATATTCCGATCCTGTGCGCGGCGCGGGCGAGAAACCTCCCAATCCTCGCAGAATTGGAGGTTGCCGCGAGCGTATGTCCGGCAACAGTTGTCGCCATCACAGGCACGAAAGGTAAATCAACAACGACACTGCTCACAGCTACCATACTGAAAGCCGGTGGTAGATTCCCGAACGTTCGCGTTGCAGGCAACATCGGTGTTCCATTGGCAGCGGAGGTTCAAAATCTTACAAGTCGAGATATAGTCGTTGTTGAGGCAAGTAGTTTTCAGTTGGAGAGCACCGTGACCTTCCATCCGAAGGTTAGCGTCGTGCTTAATTTGTCTCGCGACCACTTGGACAGACATGAAACAATGTCCGCCTATCGCGAGGCAAAACAGAAAATCGCTGACAACCAGACAACTGCAGACTGGATAGTTCTCAATGATTCAGATGCATCTGTCAAGGATTTCGCAGCATCAACATCGGCGGAAGCGGTCTATTTTACAGACAAAGGTGCCCCCGAAAATTTGTCGTTCTCAGGAACATTTAGAGAGGGTTCGGGGCTTTTCGCGCAGCAGAATGGGATACGCGAGAAAATATGTGACATCGTGGACATCCCACTTTCAGGAGCACATAATGTACAGAACGTCCTCGCCGCTATCGCTGTAGGACGGATTTTTGGTGTAACAGGGGCAGAAATTCGAGAAGCACTTCAATGCTTCGATCGGTCGCATCCGGCTTTATCCCATGCTTTTGAGTTGGTGCGGACCTTAGAAGGGGTCCGATTCATAAACGACTCAAAAGCGACAAACGTGGCGGCGGTTAAAGCAGCTCTTGAATCGTTAGTAGACTCTCAAGTTTTACTAATAATGGGAGGATACGACAAGGGTAACGATTACATGCCTTTGCGTGAAATCGTTCAAACTAAGGTTAAAGGCGCAGTAATGCTCGGCGAGTACACCCAACAGATTGAAAAGACCCTCGCCAATACCACGAAAATAATGAAAGCGGAAACAATGGCAGAAGCTGTACAGGTGGCACATAAACACGCGTCACCGGGCGATGTCGTCCTGTTGTCCCCAGCAAATGCAAGCTTTGACATGTATCCCGATTACAAAGCAAGAGGCACTGATTTTAAAGAAGCAGTTGACACGCTCCAACCCCTTCATTAGAACTATTCATAAACATGGGTTTTTTGGGATCAAGACAATACAGAAGGCGATTTCTACACATAAAATAGCAACGAAACCGTAGCCCGAAACGAAGTGGAGGGCGATTCTTGAGCGAAAAGCGTCAACGCACAAACCACGCCGTTTAACCGCAAGGTATAATTAAAAGATGGTACGCAATTACCAAAACTCTGCCCGTAGCAATAGGAATCGTAAATCCAAACCAAGATCTGGGTTCAAATGGACAAACACGCGCGCCTATTCCGTTGTAGAGGAACAGCAGAATCGGGTAGTAGAAGCACCCCCTCCGCAAAGATCGGGACGAATGGATAGAGGGTTGATCGCTCTTACGCTCTGCCTTATTGCGATAGGCATTCTGATGGTATACAGCGCAAGCCATCTTCTCTCTTCAAGACACTATGATGGCTATAGTTACCATTATCTGCAGATACACATCATTGCGTGTGCCATTGGTTTAGTTGGTATGTTCTTTACGTCCTATTTACCCTACAGGTTCTATGCGAGGTTCGCAAACTTTTTTTTAATACTCTCCTTTATAGGACTATTATTGGTTTTCGTCCCAGGTTTAGGTGCAAGCGTACAAGGCGCAGAAGGCGGTAGATTTAGACGTTGGATCCGGATCGAGAGTCTACCCGTACACTTTCAGCCTGTGGAATTTGCGAAAATAGCGTTGGTTATACATGTGGCAAATTTCATAAGCCGTAACCCAGAGCGCGTTAAGAGTTTTTTCAACGGTGTACTTCCGAATATCCTTATTGTAGGGGTCGCTTTTGGTCTTGTGTACATCCAACCGGATTTCGGTTCGGCGTTCTTATTAGTAGTAACCGTCTGCATAGTGCTATTTATCGGCGGTATGCGTATCTGGCATGTGTTAACACTTGCGGGTGCAGGCGGTGGTATTCTCAGTTTGCTGATAATTCGGGATTCGTATAAACTAAAACGGCTCATGGATTATTTGGCAATGTTGAAATCTCCAGATGCGACGAACTATCAGTTAACACGTTCACTGGACGCACTCGAAAGTGGTGGACTTCTCGGTTTAGGTATCGATAGCAGCCTTCAGAAAATATCACGTCTTCCCTATCCACACACAGATTTTATTTTCGCAGTATTAGGTGAGGAATTCGGGTTTATCGGTGCAGTGACTGTGACGTTCATTTTCATGTTATTTATATGGCGAGGACTCCACATTGCTCGACATGCCAGTGACCGATTCGCTTCTTTGCTCGCCACCGGAATTACGACGCTAATCGGTCTACAGGCATTCATTAACATTGGTGTTGTGACAGGCTTGTTGCCGACGAAAGGGATTACTTTGCCGTTTATCAGTTACGGCGGTTCATCAATCGTTCTGAGCCTGGTGAGTGTCGGAATCCTTTTGAATGTATCACGGAGCAGCAGTAAGAACGTAGACTGACACCAAACCGATAAAATAGAGATCCAAAACACCAAGCCTGAAACGTAGTGGAAGGCGACTCTACGGAATGGAACATGAAACCTCAGACCCATCTCATCGAACCGCAAGGAAAATTAAAAAATTCTAAGCGTTGCGATAGCAATCTATCAGAAACCGACGACCGCAGCTTATTGGCACTGCAACAGCATGCGGTGCAGAAAAAAATCGTTATCGCGGGCGGCGGTACAGGCGGGCATATCTATCCTGCGATTGGTATCGCCCAGGCACTGCAGCGTTTGGACACCACGGTAGATATTGTGTTTATTGGTGGTTCGGACAAGTTAGAATCAACGCTTGTTCCACAACATGGGTTCCGTTTCTTGCCTATTTCTGTTGCGGGTCTTCCGCGTCGCCTCACTTTACAATGGTTACCCGCCATTTGGAAGGCAGTTCATGGACTTCTCCAGTCATTGCGGTATATGAAGGAGTTGAAACCAGATGTCGTTATAGGAACGGGCGGATATGTTTCAGGTCCGGTTCTGTTAGCCGGTCTTCTATGCAAGATTCCGATTGCTATCCAAGAACAGAATGCTTCTGTTGGCTTAACAAACGGTATATTGGCACGATGGGCAGATGTCGCCTACCTTGCTATGGAATCGGTTCGCGAGAACAATTCATTCCGACGAACCGCACGTATAGAGATAACAGGAAATCCTATTCGTCCTGCAATCGCTGCATTCCCGAGGCGCGAGGAAACCTACAGAAGATTCGGGTTGCGCCCAGAGCGGAAAACAATTTTTGTGATGGGTGGCAGTCAGGGTGCTCATGCTATCAATGAAGTGATTGTAGCTGCGCTGCCACACCTCATCGAATATGCCGATCAGATCCAGATAGTTCATCAAACTGGTGCGCTGGAACTTGAAAAGGTTCAAACCGCGTATGATCGGACACTCGCTTCGCATCGAACCCTCAACTCGACTCCGACACAAGGCAACAAAGCACGAGTTGAGGGTTCGGGATTCCTATATTATGTCAAACCTTTCTTTGATACTGTTGAGGAAATCTATAGTATCGCAGACGTTATGGTGTGCAGAGCAGGCGGAATGACTATTGCCGAGGTCACTGCATGTGGTATCCCCGCAATTTTCATACCCTTACCCTCGCAAACCGGAAACAACCAAGTATTAAACGCTCACACCGTTGCAGAAGAGGGTGCGGCTGTTGTACTTGAACAAGGCACCTTCACGGTAGAAACTTTGGTAAAAAACCTGACGAACATGATCCTTGATGAAAATACACATGAACGGATGGTAACCGCAAGTCAAGCACTCGGCAAACCACATGCCAGCGATGACATTGCCAAGTCCATTCTTTCTTACGCTTAGTTAACTACATTATAAAATCGAGATCCAAAGCGCGAAGCCTGAAACGAAGTGGAAGGCGGATATACGGAAAGGGGTATCAAATCCCGAACCCACTTCACCGAACCGCAAGGAAAATTAAAAATAATGTTTGGAAAAACACGACACATCCATATTATTGGCATAGGAGGTGCCGGATTAAGCGGCATCGCTGAGATCCTGCTGGATCTCGGGTTTCACGTAACAGGCTCAGATATCCGCAAGTCATATGCTACGGAACACTTGCGTGGACGAGGAGCAACTATCTATTACGAGCATGCAGCATCACACATACAGGGTGCCGATGTCGTCGTTTTTTCCCCCGCTATTCCCCCTGAAAATCCAGAACTCCTCGCTGCAGAGACGCAGAAAATTCCAATTGTCAGGGGCGCGGAAATGCTGAATGAAATCACTCGAATGCGCTACAGCGTTGCCGTCAGCGGAACACATGGAAAAACAACTACAACAGCTATGACTGCGACAGTCCTTGCCAGTCTTGATCCGACGGTTGTCGTAGGTGGGAAACTCATGAATGGCAGTCACGCTCGAAGTGGCGAAGGCGATGTTATGGTAATCGAAGCAGATGAGGCATATGGTTCAATTGAGATGTTTTATCCCACTGTTGCTGTTGTTACGTCCGTCGATGCCGACCATCTGGATTATTACAATAGCGTTGACGAGATTGGTGAAACCTTCCTTAAATTCACCAATAAAGTTCCGTTCTACGGCACAGCAGTTCTCTGCTTGGATGCTGAGAACATTCAAAGGTTTATCCCGCGGATTAAAAAGCGTTATATTACCTACGGACTTGAAACGCAAGCGGATCTGATTGCTGAGGGCATTACCGTGGAAGGTCCCACATCTCGTTACCGAGTTCGCAAACATGGACACCTATATGGTGAAATTCACCTTAAAATGCCGGGTCGCCATAATATTTCTAATTCTTTGGCAGCGATAGCCGTCGGGCTTGAACTTGATATTCCTTTCGATCAAATCCGAGAGGGTCTTGAGTCATTTCAGGGTGTACATCGCCGCTTTGAAATACTTGGCGAAGTTAACAATATCATTGTCGTTGACGATTACGCACATAATCCAGCGAAGTTGAAAGCCGCATTGAGTGGTGCACGCGACGGTTATAAGCGCCGTATCGTCGCCGTTTTTCAGCCACACCGATACCAGCGTGTCAGAGATTTAGCAGATGAATTCTCTCGCTCTTTTTATCAGGCAGATGTCCTCATTGTTACCTCAATCTATAGTGCTGGTGAGGCACCTATTGAAAACGTCACAGCTGAAAAACTGGCAGAAGCGATACAATCACACGGACATCGCCATGTTTACTATGTACCAGATACAGATGAAGTTCCGGACGTTCTGATGAAAATAACACAACCAGAAGACATTGTCATTACGCTCGGGGCAGGGGACATTAGTAAAGTAGGACACGAGTTCCTAAATAGACTTCAGGCAGAATAGTGGTCAGTCATCAGTTAACAGTTAAAAGCAGCGGTGTGGCAGTTATCGTAAACATTGCTGCCACAAGGGATGTTACTGATAACTTTAACCATCAACTCGTGCTTAACATTTATAACGGAGGCGAGTTGATGGTTAAAACCGATAACTCTAAAGATGTGGATTCAATTGACTTCAAATCAACGACTCACCATTACAGGTACAAGAGAAGCCGGAAGAAAGTCTTCGTTCTTTGGTAAAAAGCGTAATGGATATACACGGCAGACTTCAATGCCTGCGCGACGGCTTGGTAAACACCCCAACGCCAAAATATACATGTGGCGGCGTATAATTCTCGTCATCGCGGCTATGGTTACTTTATCGTTTGCAGGAAAAATAGTGCTCGGTTTTTTTAGTGCTGAATATGTTTCACTTGAACTTTCAGGAAATATGCACTATACTGATGTACAAATCTATGATGTATTAGGCGAAAAGTTAGAAAATATCGTCATAGATTCTGAAGAACAAACAGCTGACTATCTCAAGGAGAGCTTGAGCTACATTAAAGAAGTACATGTCGTTAAACATGTGATGAAGCGGATACTCACTATTGAAGTCACCGAACGTGAACCTTTTGCGCTCCTGTGGTTCGGTAATGCTTCGCAAACTTCTCAAATGCACATGCCCAGCGTACAAACCTTAGGTAATAAATCATCCGCTGTAAGTGCACTGCTTGATGGTGATAGTTCGTTTTTTCTCGTAGATAGCGAAGGACATGTGTTAAAAAATATAGAGGTTGGAGAAACAGGTCAATGGAGATCTGAAGGGATACCTGAAGAACTGGCGATACTTCTGGTCCTGAGTAATGAACCACCGAGAATTGGTACTGTCGTTCAGAGAGACGAGGTTAAATTGGGATTAGAGGTTTTAAAGACTGCCCTACTTCAGGAACCAGCACTTGCGGCACAAATACAGATTATCGACGTAAATGATTTCCAAAAAATTAAGCTACAGATTGATGCGCTGCCTGCACCAGTATGGCTTGCTGGAGACACGATGGAATCTGGGCTTCATCATACTGCCCTGCTTCTAAAACAGCATAAAACTCGGATCCTTGAACTTATTGGTGAGATCCCGAGTGTAAGAAAACCATATATAGACGTAAGGTACCAAGACACACTCTACTTGGGAGGGTATACTGAAAGCAAGTAGCCTGATCCTTGTAGCACCTATAAAGATCTATAGAATATCGGCTCCACACCTGTTTACGGTTTCCCTTGAGACCTAAAAAAGAAGGAGGTGAAAACATTTAAATGCCAAAACAAAATATTATCGCAGGACTTGATATCGGTTCGAGCAAAATTTCGGTAGTTGTTGGGAATACGCTGCACGGGGGCACCCAAAAAATAGGAATTATCGGCGTTGGTCACGCGCCTTCCAAAGGACTCCGCAGGGGAGTTGTCGTTGACATCAACCAAACAGCCGAGGCTATCCGTAAAGCCATCTCCAGTGCTGAATTGATGGCAGGGGTGAAAATAGACTCCGTCTGCGTCGGTATTTCGGGTGAACATGTTATTGGGCAAACGTCACATGGGGTTGTTTCCGTGGCAAATACTGAGATTTCGCAGGACGATGTTGACCGAGCGATGATAGCAGCAAAGGCAATCTCCATTCCCGCAGACAGGGAAATACTGCATGTCATCCAACAGAATTTCGTCGTTGATGCCCAGAGTCGTATTCGGGAACCTATCGGTATGTCTGGCGCGCGTCTTGAAGCTTACGCCTACATTATTACAGGTGGCACAACGGCTATTCAGAATTTGCTCAATAGCATCGAAAAGGCAGGCGTGCCTATAGTTGAAACGCTTGTCGCTGCACCGCTCGCAGCAACACAAGCTGCCATCTCAAAGGATGAGCGTGAAGTCGGCATCGCACTTGTTGACATCGGGGATGGAACAACTGAAGTTATTGTTTACAAAGAGGATTCTATCGAACATACAGCAGTAATTCCTGTTGGAGGACAGCACGTTACCAACGACATTGCGCAATACTTAAAAGTCACCCTTCCAGAAGCGGAGGAACTTAAACTTCACCGCGGCTGCGCTTGGACAGAATTAGTCGATCCTGATGACGTTAGATCTATTCCAGTCGCCAGTGATTCAACTCCACCGCGTTTCATTGACCGGATTGAACTTGCCCAAATTATTGAGTACCGTATGGCTGAAATCTTGGACGCAATCGGTGACGAATTAGGTGATATTCCGCTTCCGGGTGGACTCGTGCTCACGGGTGGTACTGCACTCATGGACGGTTTGCAAGAACTCGCTGAAGCTATGCTTCAGCTGCGCGTCCAGATCGGATACCCGCGTGGCTTGCAAGGCTTGACTGACCGGGTGAACCATCCAATGTATTCCACAGGAATAGGACTCGCTCTTTACGGTGAGACTTTGCGGCAGTTAGAACGTGAACACAACGTACGCCATGGAGGGAACGCCTTTGGATCATTCCTGCAACGCATCAAAGAATGGTTTGGATATTAAGCGTCCTTCTCATTATTGAATAGGACGAGCCCACTTATGCCAAACTTATCGCAACGCTTGACTTAACTTTACTAATAGCGTATAATTTAATGTGAAAAAGCGAATCCATGAAAGTTATTAAGGAACCTCGGTCTGGAGATTGAGGCTATAATGATAGGAGGAATTAGGTTGCTGTGTCTTTGTAATAGTAACTGAAATCTAAAATGATAGAATTTGAACAGGAAGAATTTGAAAGTCTACGTGCCAAAATTAAAGTTATTGGGATCGGTGGAGCAGGTGGAAACGCTGTCAAACGTATGATTGAAGCAGGACTTACCGGCATAGAATTTTATGCCGTCAATACTGACCAACAAGCACTCGTGACCTGCCGCGGTGCTACCCAAATCCAGATTGGTGTTAACACTACCGAGGGCTTAGGTTCCGGGGCAAACCCCGAGATTGGCAGAAAAGCTGCTGAAGAAGACAGAGAACATCTCCAAACTATCGTAGAGAACGCAAATATGGTCTTCATCACCGCAGGTATGGGGGGTGGAACTGGTACCGGCGCGGCACCACTCATTGCTACACAAGCAAAAGAGCGAGGAGCTCTCACTATCGGTGTCGTGACACGTCCTTTCAACTTTGAGGGACAACGTCGCGCAGCCGCCGCCGAAGCAGGACTTGATGAACTCCGATCAGCTGCTGATTCCGTAATTGTTGTACCAAACCAGCGTCTCATCGACACTATGGACAGGAAACTTCCCATCCGAGAAGCATTTCGTATGGGAGATCAGATTCTCTTACATGGCGTTAAAAGCATATCCGACATCGTCGCTGAATCAGGCGAAATTAACGTTGACTTTGCCGATGTTGAATCCATTATGCGAAACGCAGGAAGTGCATTGATGGGCATGGGGCATGCTACAGGCGACAACCGCGCCCAAATTGCCGCAGAACAGGCGATCAGTTCACCTCTCCTTGAGCAAACTAATATTGCCGGAGCCGTCGGTATGATTGTGAACATCACCGCACCGCCCGATTTCATGATGCACGAACTCGATGACGCTATGGGTGTCATTCAGGATACCGCCCCCGAGGCACAAATTATTTTTGGACTTGTTTACAAAGATGAATTGGAACTTGGAGATGAAGTCCTTGTAACCGTCATTGCTACAGGATTTGATAGTGTTGAAGGGGCAGACTACGAGATTGATGACGCAGATACCTATCAAAGACAAACACCGGCTCTTCCCGAGCAGCGTGTACCAAGTCCAAGCAGAGTACAACAGAGTATCGACAGAACACCATCCGACAGATCCAGGGTTCCGGGTCGTGGGCGGAGAGCAAACGCCGAACCACCCATAGAGGAGGATAACGTACCCCAAAGCAACCCGCAGAAACCTACCCGAGGAAAAGACCAAGGCTCGCAGCAGCGTGAAACAGATTGGGAAATTCCCGCTTTTCTGCGCGTTCAAAAAAGACGTGGGAACGATAAATAGGAACTACCTCTACACCGACTCCTATCGCTTCTGATTTTCTGAGTGTAGATCCCGATTCCCTGATTGAGATTCCTTAAAACTAACGCCGCACCGTGTTTTGATAACATAGTGCGGCGTGTATCGCTTTTTCATTTTCGCCTGTAAATACACTTTTTTACCGCGGACCTTTTGCTTATGGCACATTTCAAATAAACTTTACTATACTTGAGGCAAACATTGAACTTATATCAGCATTACCAACACTTACGCAGTGAGGAACACGGCGCACACAACAACTTCAGAAAACCTAACAAATTCGCGCTTGTCTATCCGAGCACGTATGCCCTCGGTATGTCAAGTCTCGGTGTTCAGGTTATGTACGCAACACTCAACAGTCGAGCGGACACCGCTTGCGAACGTGTTTTTATTCCTGAGCCTGACTATCTTCGGAAACTTGCCTCTCAAAAAAAGGCTCTTTTCTCGTTTGAAACGCAGACCCCTTTGAACCAATTTGACATCCTCGGGTTTTCAGTCTCCTTCGAATCAGATTATGTGAACATTCCTCGCACGTTAGAGTTGGCGAACATACCGCCGCTTGCTGAAGCGCGAACGGAATGGGATCCGCTCGTCATTGCCGGTGGCATTAATATCTCCTACAACCCAGAACCGATTGCCGATTTTGTCGATGTTTTTGTCGTCGGTGAAGCCGAACTTGTTATCCACCAACTCATGGCGCATTTCAACGAGTGGAAAAGATCCGGTGTACCGAAGAGCGAATTGCTTGAAATTCTCGCAACTGTTCCAGGGCTTTACGTGCCACATTTTTACGACGTAACCTATCGCGATGATGGTACGATTGATGCCGTTTCCCCAAAACCCGGTATATCACCTAAGATTCGTGCAGTAGCTGTCCCAAAACTTGATGATGTCGAAACCTGCACGCACATCCACACACCCAATACCGAATTCTCAAATGCACACCTCATTGAAATTGTACGTGGGTGTGGCAGGCAGTGCCGTTTCTGTGTCGCAGATTATGCCCGTCGATGGCCGAGACATCGCTCTGTAGAGAGCACACTCGCGCTTGCGGAACGCGCACGCGGCATTACAGATAGAATCGGACTCGTCGGAGCCTCCATCTCTGACCACCCACAAATCGATGAGATCGCTACAGGTCTCGTCGAACGTGGATTTCGAATCTCCTGTGCCTCACTCCGCGCTGAAACTGTTCGTACACCGCTGCTCGACGCACTCGCAGACAGCGAACAAGGGACCATCACTATCGCCCCAGAAGTTGCGTCTGAAGCACTCCAAAAGGTTGTCAATAAAGCTATTCCACGTGAACGCCTCTATCATGTATTTGAGGAAGCATTGAAACGTGATATTCTCAACCTTCGCCTATACTTCCTCATCGGTGTCCCACATGAAACACCAGCGGATGTAGAAGCCATAGTTGATATGGCAAAGGAGATGCGCACCATCGTTCTCCCCCATGCAAAACGAACAGGGAGAATAGCCCGTATCAGTTTTACGATTTCACCTATGGTGCCTAAACCACATACGCCTTTCCAGTGGGTAGCGATGGAACCCCCCAAAACCATCGCCCGAAAACTCGATTTTCTGAAACGCGAAATTAACCAACTTGGTAGCATAAAAGTCGGTTCTGCCAGTGCCAGACTCGCACATCAAGAAGCTGCCTTCGCTCGCGGCGACCGGCGGCTTGGAAAAGTCATCCTTGAGCTTGCACACGGCGTGTCATGGAACCAAGCGTTCCGTAAACACGATTTAGCTCCAGATTTTTATGCCATACGCCAACGTCCACTGCATGAGGTCAACCCGTGGGACCATCTTGACCTTAACGTTAAACCCCAATTCCTACAACTTGAGTTCAACAAGCACGAAAAAGGTTTTACAACCAGTGAGTGTGATACGACTGTTTGTAAGAAGTGTGGGGCTTGCTAACTTCCTTATCCATTCAACAAGGGTCAAATAATCGCGCGATCGTCCAAGTTTAAATCAGATTTCTCTCTTAATATCCGGTTTGCTGTTTGGGTAAACCTTACCGTATTTTGCATGATTGGCAGGAGGAATTCACTGTGCTCAAATTTGAACAATTTATAGGCGGACTCGTCGCAATATGCGTCCTGTTCGCCCTTACGACACCTGTATATGCAGGGTTAGATGACAAATCCCTCGTTTTATACCTCTCCTTTGATGAAGGAAAGGGAGGGAAGGCCGCAGACGGCTCCGTACATGGTCATGATGGTGAATTTGTCCAAAATCCCACATGGGTAGATGGGCAGTTCGGCAAAGCATTGGAGTTTGATGGGACCAAGGGAGACCATGTAATCGTGCCTATCAACGACACTTTACAACTAAGAGAACAATTTTCTGTCGCTTTTTGGGTTAAACGGGGCAAAGCCCAAATTCGGGATTGGAATTACATGGTGACAGCTGGCTCCTTGAAATGGGCAACAATTTTTCAGAATGCCAGCAGCAAAACTTTTTTTTGGTCAACATCTGGTGGTACTTGGGCACAAAAAGCCGTCACCGATGAGGTCCAACCCGAAGATTGGGTGCACATAGTAGTCACACATGACACCAAATCCAAGGTTGTTATCTACAATGATGGGAAAGAAGCCGGTGGTGGTGCTAAACCGCCAGTTGTTGATGAGATTGATGGCTCCGTTATGGTTGGGGCACGTCACCCCGGCGAAGAATTTTTCACCGGTATCATTGACGAGGTATTTCTCTTTAATCGAATCATCACTGAGGCGGAAATCGGTGAAATTATGAATGGCGACTTTCTGCCAGTAGAACCCGCAGACAAACTCGCGACGACGTGGGGCAGCATTAAAGCCGATCGCGATTTTTAAACTATTGACACCTGGGCATCGTTCCACTTCGTTTCACGATGGTTTTCGGTGAAGTCCAACCCGTTTTCAGTTATGAAACGTTTAAGAACCTTACTTCGCTTAACCCCGTTGAAACTGACCTGAAACCTGCCCGAAACGAAGTGGAGGACAGCCCAGGAGTCCAATTATTTAAAAATGCTAAAATATCTCGCCATATTCATCCTTTGCAGTGCTTCTGCAAACATCGCTTTATCCGATTCTTCATCTGCCGAAAGAGTATTATAAGAGTGCCACTATCTACCACGATCTCGGAGAATTCGAGCAAGCCATCTCCGAATACAGACAAGCCATCGCGCTTAATCCTAATTCCCCCATCATCTACAACAGACTCGGTGTTGCATATTCTGAACTGAAGCAATACGATGCCGCCCTTGATGCCTATCAGAAGGCACTTGCGTTGTCTCCTATGACGGCTGAACCACACTATAATATCGGACTGGTTTACCTCAAGCAAGGCAATTTCCCACGTGCCGCTGAGGCATTTAAACGTGCAGTCGCTATAGACGCGGAGTGGGGAGATGCCTACACAGGACTCGGCGAGGTCTATTTGAAGCAGGGTGACTTCGGACAGGCTATTCGCGCCTATAAACAAGCCGCACGTCTCAATCCAAACGGAAATCCGAGTGCTATTTTGGGATTGGGTAAAGTCTATGCAAGGCAGGAACGCTTGGATGACGCAATCACCGCGGTTGAGAAGGCAATTGAAATTCAGGTGGATAATACAGAGGCACATTACCAACTCGCTCAAATTTATATCAAACGCGGCGAAAAGAAAAAAGCCGCCTCAGCGATGGCGTTTTTCAAAGTCCTCCGTCAAACGGATCCGCTCCTCAATGAAGCCGAAATATGGGTGAAAAGACATCCCAATGACGCAAGAGGCTATAACAACCTCGGTATTGTCTACCTCGCACGTCATCGCTCTGAGGACGCAATTGCCAGCTACAAACGCGCCATTTCTCTTGCCCCTGATTTAGCCACTGCACACTACAATTTAGGGCATGCCTACCATAAGCAAGGAAAAATAAACCTCGCCATGAGGCTTATCAACAGGCACTCACTATCGACACCACCCTTGCAATTGCACATAATAATGTCGCTGTCTGCTATATAGAATCAGGGATAGATTTGGACCAAGCACTCTCTCATGCCCGAACCGCTGTTCGTCTTGTCCCGACTGAGGCGAATTATTGGGATACGCTTTCTCAAGTTTGCACCGTCCTTGGGTTAGAAAGTGAAGCACAACACGCACGTGCCTATTCGATAAAAAAACAGGAAGGGTATTCTCAAGAAGAATGAAATGCTTCTGCTATATTATCCTCTCTTTGATTCTGAACATGTCCGCTTCCGCAGAAATCCAATTCGTTGACGCAACCGCCGCTGCAGGCATCACGTTTCGGCATGTTGATGGCAGAACCGGTGAAAAATTTCTCATCGAAACGCTCGGCTCTGGCGCACTTTTTTTCGATTTCGATGTTGATGGGGCTTTGGATCTTTATGTAGTGAATGCTACACACATCCCTCCACCAGTCAGCGAAAAAACCCCTCAAATACATTCCCCACTCCCGCAAAACATACTCTACCGAAACAACGGCGACGGCACTTTTACTGATATTACAGACAGGACAGGGGTTGGAGATACCGGTTATGGTGTCGGATGCGCAGCTGCCGATGTTAATAATGACGGTTATCCCGATATTTACGTAACTAACTACGGACGCAACCGCCTCTATTACAACAACGGTGACGGCACTTTTACTGATGTAACGCAAAAATCGGGAGTCGGCGATGAACGCTGGGGAACAAGTTGTGCCTTTCTGGATTACGATTTAGATGGGTATCTTGACCTATACGTCGTCAATTACATGAAATTTTCCGTTGCGGAAAACGAATGGTGGGAAACTCGGGGTATCAGAACATATTGTAGCCCGACAGATCAGATTGCTGGCAGCCACTTTGTAAGCGAGCCTGATATCCTCTATCGCAACAATGGCGACGGAACCTTCACAGATGTCACCAAAACTGCAGGGATCTCACACCGTGCCCTCGGTCTCGCTGTCGCTGTCGGAGACTACGATAACAATGGCTATCCAGACCTGCACATCGCCAACGATATGGAAGCAGACCTCTTTTACCACAATAACGGTGATGGCACCTTTACCGAAACCGCCGACCTTACCGGAACAGGGTATGATGAAAACGGTTTCCCCGGAAGTGGTATGGGAAACGCATTTGGTGATTATAACAACGATGGTTATCTTGATCTCGTCGTCAGCAACGCCTCTGGACTGCCTGCACTTCTCTATCAAAATGAAAACGCTGCGTTCTTTACCGATGTCTCTTTTGTCTCAGGAATTGGAGCAGTGACGCTCCCCTACTTTAAATGGGCAGCCGAATTCTTAGACTATGACAACGACGGTCTCCTTGACCTCTTCGTTGCGAACGGACATCTTCAGGAAAACATTTCGCGCTTTTCGGAGAGTACCTATCCGCAGACAGATTTGGTTTTCCGAAATGTGCATAGGCAAGACGGCACATATCACTTTACTGATACGTCTACTGAGGTCGGATTGGCACAACTCCCGAAAAAAGTCAGCCGCGCCGCCGCATTCGGGGACTATGACAATGACGGAGATATTGATATTTTTCTCAACAACTCCAATCAACACGCAACGCTTCTCCGAAATGAGGGCGGTAATAGCAATCACTGGTTGACAATCCAGCCCATCGGGACCAAAGCAACACGTCCGGTATTGGTACAAAAATAGTTGTGAAAGCCGGCAATTTGTCTCTTACCAAAGAAGTCCGGAGCGGTGCGAGTTACCTTTCACAAAGCGATCTACGTGTACACTTTGGATTGGGAAAGAATTCAGGAGTCGAAACCCTTGAAATTCACTGGCAGAGCGGGCTCACAGAGCAATTTTCCAACCTGAAGTCAGACCAAATTCTCCGCATTAAGGAGGGACACGGGATCATAAACGGACAAGAAATAAGATAAGTATCAAAAAAGGACCTTTACGTATCACCACCAGGGATCTCTGGCCAATTGTGCTCCGGTGAATATCCTAAATCCTCTTCTGCCTGTTTCCACGCAAAACGGGAATCCGCACGACCAGCGACAGCGTTATAAGCACCATACCTTACCGTCTCTGTTTCGATCGCGCGTGCAACACACTGCGCAACATCCCTCGGATCCACGTAAACAAACCAAGGCCCCGTCGCAACTTCAGGGGCTGTAGGACCGGGATTCTGCCCATCCCCATCTATGACCCCCGGACGGACATGGATCACGTCCAACCCATGCGCTTGATGATACGCCGCCCCGATCCGCTCGCCGAGGTACTTCGCCAGTGAGTAGTAAATATCTCCCGGACCGAAATGGAAGTCATCATCCACCTCGTAAGGCAATTTTGCACTTGAGGCAGGAGGGCACGCCGAAATACTTGAGATGTTAACTAATTTCTGAACACCCTGCTTCACACAGGCCTCTGCGACGTTCCATGTCCCTTTCACCATGACATCCGCAAACAGCGAGGCTGGCTTATCAGACCGTCCCCGTACCAAAGCAACAAGATGGACGACAGCATCTTGATCGGCACACGCTGCCTCGATTTCGGCAGCATTTGTCACATCTGCCTTGATAAAAGTCGTGCCTGCAACCGCGCGATCCAGTTCAACAATATCCGTTAGCGTCAGTTCATACTCGCTACGCAACCGATCAATGATAAATTGCGCCAGATACCCATTCGCACCAGTGATCAAAATCTTTTCAATAGACATTTTTTAATTTATTACTCCTGGGCGTTGCTCCATTACATTACGCAATGGTCTCCGATAAAGTTAGTAGCCCTTCCAAACCTAAAGCAGGCTCTCTACTTCACCGAAAACCGCCATGAAATGTAATGGAATGGCATCCAGATTCCCATAGTTAGAAAAACGGAAAATCGGAAAAGTGATGGCAACCTGCATTCTCACTGCGAAGCAGGCGCAGGCGACTCTTCGGCAAAAACCGTTATAGACCCCATCGCTTGATTTAACGTCTTGCGAATCGTTCAAAACCTGTCTCATAGAGTGCCTCGTTGAAGCCAACAAGGAAGACATTCTCGTTTTGTATTGTCGGCGCACGCAGGCTGCCGCTTCGTCCCATCACCGCTTTTAGGATGGATTCCTGTGTGTCTTCGGTTGGCACAAAGGTTTCCACGCGCCTCCCTTTCGCAACAACGATCCGCTTCGCACTGCCCATTAAATCCCATACCGCTGTCGCATCCATTTGCTCTTTTCGCGCATCAGTCCGACTCTCTGGCTGTAAGTTATGTGTGTCAAGAAACTCTTGCACTTTCTTACACGAGGTTCAGCTATTCCGAAAATAAATCCAATCTATCATTTTTTTAATTTTCCTTGCGGTTCGGTGAAGTGGATTGGAGACTTCAAGTGCTTTTTCGTATATCCGCTTTCCACTTCGTTCCAAGCTTCGCGTTTTTCTAATTTACCTTACAAATCCTTCACATTGATAAATCTGCCGGTGTCGCGGCTTTGGACCGCGGCATCAATTAGAGCGAGTGTTTCAATTGCATCAACGAACGGCGAGCGAATCAGCGTCCTGTCGCCTGTCTCAATAGCACGCAGCCATGCTCCGGATTTGTCTAAACCCAGACTGTTTTCGGAAACCGCCGGTTCATTGACGATTTCACCGTTAAGGTATCCGTGAATGGCATTATCCGTCATATTCGCTTGTAATCGTAAATGTGGTCCGACGACTTCAACCTCAAAACTAAATTTCTCGGTGCCACAGTGATTCATGTGCGTTCCGAAAACGCCGTTGTCCAGTTGATAGGTCATCTGGATGGCATTTTCGGCATCGAATTCAGTTCGGTCCAACGCCATATTCTTGACAGCAAACGCATGCGCCTGCACCGGTTTCGGGTTTCCCATAACGAACCGTGCGCAATCCAGCACATGTACCG